GGGGGAGATAATACACAGTATTTATAGTCCTTTTCGTCCAATTAACCCATTTTAACTTATAATTAATTTTTTTTATTTCAAATTAACTTTTTTAACTTCAAATGAACCCTTTTTTAGTTGTTAGTCCATGTTAAAACCTATTGAAACATTTGGATTATTTAATTTTTGGATCAATGGGATTTTAAGGATCATACGGAACATTTATAGCTTTTCCATCCAATTAACTCATTTTAACTACAAATTAACTTTTTTTTTCAAATTAACCTATTTTAACATAAAATGAACTTTTTTTTGCTTTCATAATTAATCTTTTCTTTAAAACAGAAAACTTGTAAAAACTATTTTTTTAGTTTGGGAATTTAAAAAATATAAAATTGATTATTGTCTTAAATTGGCAACCGCAGTAGCCAAGTGATCAGTGTGATAGACTCTCGGCTCTAGACCCAGCGGTTGTGAGTTTGATTTCCACCATCGCCCCGGTCCTTTTTTTCATGCGATTTCCTCCACCCCCTCCAAAAAAAACGCATATGATAGTTCCTTGGCTAATATGCAAAGTTTGTAACGCCATAAAAATATTGTAAATGCCATATGAAAATGAAAAACAATTTTACTTAAGTTATATAAAATTAAATATTGAAACAAATTATTCTAATATTAATTTGAGATTTTATTTAAGTATAATAAACTGGTCGATAAATTAATTATTTTATACAATTTAAAAAAATTCACATTATTAGAAGAATCGTGTGGTTTTATAATTAATTTTGTGTAACTTTTAATTTTAATTAATTTTTGGTATTTTAGTTAAGAACTAATTTTATATTTAAGAAAAACTCGAATTAAAAGGAGAATCTATTATTTTCATATACATGTTTATACATTTTTTAAGAACTAATTTTATATTTAAGAAAAACTCGAATTAAAAGTAGAAATTATTTTTTTAAATTCATTTTTATACATTTTTTATTTTAATTCTGATTAATTATCATATTGTTTTCTAAGAGCTTAATTATTTTATATTAAAAATAAAAATACGCTATTATTTATAAATTTTACTTTATGCACTTATATTTCATAGTTTTTTGTTGTTTTTTTTAAATGACAATAAGAATTAAAATAAAAATAATTTAAGTTCTGCAGTTAAACGTTTGTACAGGCATCCAGAACCTTGTACTGTTTTCATTTTCTTGACTCAGTCATTGTCAGTTTCAAGGGCCATTCAAATGTAAAGGGAGACTGGGCGGGAGGCTCTCAAGGCTTACCTGAATCACCAATTCCATAGATGAGTGTTTAATTTAAATTCCAGCCATCTGGAAGCACTTTAAGCTTTTAGCGTTAAAAACATGATTGGTGGCCAGCAGTCAACTGTTCAAAGTGGACAGTCAAACCTTAGATCATGATGGCATGGAATGTCCTCATCACAGAACAGCATGGAGGCTAAGATTAGCAAGGGAACACCAATGGACTAAAGAGGAATGGAAAAAAAGCACTTGACGCTTTTTCACAGTAGTCTGGAATTAGACTGGAGAACCAGTCCAATCTATCGTATTCTGGGGTGGTATTTCTCGGTAGGCACATACATGAGTTGGTACCAATCTTGGGGAGCCTTGAATACGGTAAGATAATCTTGAATCATCGTTGATAATACTCGGCTAGAGTCATCTAATGACCTTACACACCGAATTGTAATATTTGTCTACTGTGCAATCTCCATTATTATTTAAAAGCTCTTTGTTAAGCTTAAGGCTTTTTCTTAGATACCGAAGCTTTGTTAAGGCCATGTGTATATTTCAGACCTTAGCTTTCCGAATGCTACAAACCAACAAATAAGGTGTTCCGCTGCTTATTCTTCTTCCTACCAAGCCTGCACAGTTTTACTTTTGTTAGTCCAAGTCATATATGCCTCCAAAGTCTGCAGTCCAGTCAGGAGTTCTAACAAGTATTAGGTTTGATAGTTCTCTGTGTAATCCTTCAATGAACTTGATCATACAATCCTGTTGAACTGAGGGCTTACATTCTTAACATATTGTCTTATGAATCTACATTTTTGGCATTTGATATGCCGCAAAAGAGTTCAGGGATGAGAGATATTCTGAACGTACAACTCCTAATTGTCTGCCATGTACACCCTGGTACCCAAACAACGATAATTTTTGGTTTTCCTTCATATCTGACAAGGCCTTGATGTAATCCCCAATGATTCTGGACTTTATTACCAATAAGGCAGTTACCATTAGCTGTCCAACTATTTTATTGGTAATACCCACATTTCTCTGACATTCAATAGCCTGAGAGACAGTGGCATATTACCTAAATTATACCAGCAGATACCAACTCCTGACCCATACTCAGACTTGAGCCATTTGTATACCAGACATAGCCAGCATTATCCCTTTCTCCTAGTCTCTATAGGACTCTATAGGATATTTTGATTTGAAATTGAATTCTGGGCTCTTGGAGTCTACAGGCATCCCTATAGAACGTCTGCATGAAATTATCCAGTTTCTCCCTGACTGAAGAAATGCGGCCACATATCAATGAGTTTCTTAGCACCTGAACACCACGGGATCAAACTCTTGAGTGGCCAGAAAGAGATCCTGTCCACCCAATCTATTTAGGATAACCTCAAAAGAAAGCTCATAGGATACTTCCTACAACCTTTGAACGCTGAAACAAACTTCTAATCCAATCGACTAACTCTATCTAAAAATAGCATTCGAATAATCCGGTGTATGTTTAATAACTTCAAAGCACAATACAGCATAAACAGAAACAATAGGGCTTGGACTTCTGATCTCGACCGCTAATTGCCTGTACACCTTGATTTCTATTTCAGTAATACTTCAAAAACTACAAAATAACCCTTTGCGAACAAAGGGCAGGGCCATCGAAATTAAATTATTAAAGAACAAATAAAATGGTTAAAATTAACATAACATAAAGAAGTAGTTTTGGATGAACTCACCGCTTCCATTTTTGGTTTTGGCCATAGGAAATAAATCTGGCTGTTCTTCTCGAATGTTTCTCGTCCTCGAAGGAAATTTCACTACGAATTTAACTCGATTTTATTTAAATTAGATCGGTAAATTATTTCATGTGCTGAAGGCGGTAACTGGAAAAAATCCACCACGTGCCGACCGACTAAGAAAGACGTTAAACGACTCCATTCCAACGGAAACGACTTCAAAAAGGAACGATCTTATTGGCTGACAGAATGAGACTTCATTTTTGGCCGAATTTAAGTCCCAATCGATGAAACATTGCCAGAACCTCTTTGAAATATATAAATTTCAAATATTTAAAATATCAGCGATAATATTTTCGCCCAGGAAATTTTAATCAGAAAGTAACATAACATTTCAAGTCGAATTTTTTGAATTCCGATAGATCTACTATCTAGGAAAAAGACTCTGAAAGGCTGTACCTCCTTTTAAGCTGGGCGCACATTAAGTCGGTGGTTTTTAATTTGCTTTTGCTTTTTTAGTTTTAGTCCAAGTTAAAACATTTTCAAACATCATGAATTAATTAATTGTTGGATAAATGGGATTTTTAAGGTGGTTTTGGAGACATAATACGGAGCATTGATGGCTTTTCCGTCGAATTAACTCTTTTTATTTTGCTTTTTTAATTTTAATCCAAGTTAAAACCTTTTCAAACATCATGAATTAATTAATTGTTGGATAAATGGGATTTTTAAGGTGGTGGTGGAGACATAATACGGAGAATTTAAGGCTTTCTGCGTCAAATTAACTCTTTTTAATTTGCTTTTTTAGTTTTAGTCCCGGTTAAAACCTTTTCAAACATCAGGAATTAATTAATTGTTAGATAAATGGAATTTTTAAGGTGGTTGTTGAGACATAATAAGGAGCACTGATGGCTTTTTCCGTCAAACTAACTCTTTTTAATTTTTAGTTTTAGTCCAAGTTAAAACCTTACGATACATTATGGATGAATTAGCTTTTGAATAAATTGAATTTAAAGGTGGTTTTGGAGATATAATACTTAACTTAGTACCATTTTTCAATTACATCAACCGTTTTTTACTTCAAAAAACCCTTTTTAATTCCAAATTTATATAATTAACTTTATTTGTACCAAATTAATCTTTTTATCTTCACATTAACCAATTTTATATGGCATTACTTTTTCGTACCAAATTATCCCTTTTTAAAACGAAATTAACTTTTTTGTACCAAGTTAACTCTTTTTCACTTGGAATTAACCATTTTTAATATGAAATTAACTTTCTTAGTTCCAATTAACCGTTTTTAATTTCAAATTAACCCTTTTTCATATGAAATTAACTTTTTGCGTTCCAAATTAGCCTTTTTAACGGCCAATTAACCCCTTTTAACATGAACTTAATTTTTTCGTACAAAATGGACCATTTTTAACGGCCGATTAATCCTTTGTGTGTGTGTGTGTGAGAGAGAGAGAGGGAGAGAGAGAGAGGGAGAGAGAGAGAGGGGGAGAGAGAGAGATTTTAATTGTTAATTAGCTATTTTTGGATGCATATACCATTCTCAATACCACGTAACAGTCAAAATTTTGCTTCATCGTTATGCTTTAGTTCAAAACTGTATCAAAATTTCTACTCTAGGCATCCAGTGTTATAAAAAAAAACTTCCGAATTTTTAAAGAAAAAGAACGTCGTATATTACCTGCACATATTGTTTATAAGTCTGAGCATTGGACACCATCCACTTCCTTCACCAATCCGGCGACTTATAGCAGCCCTAGATTCTTTCTTTCTAAGATATGTTTTTCAGGGTGAAATTAATCAATTTAAAATCTTGGAGAAAATCTTAAAATAATAGCTTCGCATCCTGAAAACTTTTTGAAAGTAATCCCTACTTGGATCGACATAACAATGTCTTGAATTAAGGATTTATGTTTATTTTCGTCTGGATGAAGAAAATAATAGTAATAGGAGGCTACGATGATAAGATTAATGGACAATTATGCTAAGTGAAGCAGTATTCAAGTTTATTCAGCACATACTGTGAATTTTTATCCGGCTCGACCCAAAGTTTTCAGTATCTGTCAGTCTAATTTTTCTTTCGATTCCGTCTTTAAAACAAGACTAAGCCTCCTACAGCTTTGATTTTCAAATGGGATAAATTTGAATTCGAGATAAGAGTGAAAGAGGAAGAACGGAGGGGGCCAGATTCTGAATAGTCGCTGTGGACTATCCAGGAAGCGTTTATCGTCGTCGGCACAAAAAGATAAATCTTCTCGACCGAAATCCTTGCAAACTGCAGCAATGTTTCCAGGATATCGAAGAGTGATTTATTTACAGCAGTTCATGTTCAGGCAGGCGTTGCTGAGAAAAAGCGTCCCCATCGGAATCGCTGGGCTGGCGTTTTATCTTCTCTTTTTGCCGAAGAAATATGAAATCACCTTCACTGGGAACGTCCCAGAGTCGGATCCTGCTGTCGTCTGGGATTTCCTGTCGGATTTCAGCAACATGAAAAAGCTCAATCCAACAATGTGAGGAAACAGTAAAGTGGTATATGTACTTTTTCCATTTTTTTAAAATTTATTATTAAATTTACTATATATAAAATTTCTTATTTTCTTAAATTAATAAGCTATGCAATTAAAAAAATATATAATTCAATTGTATTGGGTTTAACTTGAATTTCTTCTACCTTCTCGAAGTTTTCGCACAATGTAGATAATTATTGTTATACTTGGCTTGACCCCCGTGAATATTTTTTTTATTTTATAAATAAAGTTTTACTACAGCTTTTTTCCGCCAATTTAACCATTTTTAACTTCAAAATAATTTTTTTTTAAATTTCCTTTTTAGCTTTATCCCGAGTTAAAACCTATTGAATCATTATGAAAGAATTAATTTTTAGGCAAAAGGGATTTTACGTTGGCCGAGGAGAGATAATACGGAACTTTATACCGTTTTTCCGTTAAATCAACCGTTTTTAACTTCAAATTAACCCTTTTTAATTTCCTTTTTGAGGAGAGATAATAAGGAAGCTTTTTTTACGAGGGTTGCAACAGCAGAGTTTATAATATATTATCATGCTGGTGTTTTTGAGAAAGAGCCCATTTGTAAGTATGTCGGGCTCGAATGCAAGACCACTGGATTCGAACCCGGGACCTTTACCTTAGTGATGAGCGCCGTGTCAAAACCTAAACCGTTGCGGCCACCGACGCCCCAATAATATGTAATGATGTACAAATGTATGTTGTGATTGGCATTGTATGCCGTAAATAAAGATTATTATTATTATTATATTTGAGATTAAAAAATTCATATCAAGGGCATCAGTGGCTAGAAAGTTTTAGGCATTGACATGGCACTCATCACTGAAAGGTAAAAAGTCCTGGGTTCGAATCCAGCGGCCCTGCATTCTAACCCTCATTTAAAAAAAAATCATATACCGGTGGTTAGCCTTTTGATCATTGAACTTAAGATATTATAGCAGTTCTGAAGAATCGGAACTATTGTTGAAAAGACCAATTTTGACCCTAGTTATGGGTCAAAACTCATGACTTTATAAAAGAGACTTGACTTAACAAAACCAGGCACACTGAAGATGTCATGCTGAAGCGCGCCTGTTAGACCAAGGCACATTTAATTAAAAAATTATTAAACAAATAACCTTATAAAAACAGCAAATCGTACATTTATTTTATTTTGTGTTTTAAGGTTGCTTTAATCTTTAAAGAGAGGGGGAGAGGGGATTTTGAGCAATCTGTCAAATTAGAGGGTTGGTCCCATCCTGTTGTAGTCAGTTGTAGCTTCGAGTTCCAGACGGACCATGGGGCTTCGATTATTATTCTTAGAAGTTGATTTTGTCTTGTGCAGATCCCCAGAGTCCACACGGATATTTCCAGATCAGTCTAGATACAACAATCTTTTTGTTGACTGCATTTGACCCATAAGCAAGAAAAAATTTTTATTTTTTTCTTAACGATAAGGTTTGCATGTGAGAAACCTTAAATCCTTTTTAAAAAGATTGTACATCGCAACACTCCACTATTCATCATTTCTATGAGAAACCTTAGTTAATTTTCTATCTAAAATTAGCCCTAGATACTTGATCTGTTATGTAATATTGAAATTTCGTTTCAGGATAGATTTCACTATCACTTCTGACAAGGCAACACCTAGTGTCTGGGAGTATGGTGTGAGGTATTCGGAATATTTGTCAAATTTACCGTTTATCCGACATTCGGCTGATGCGACGATTAAATCCTACAAGGTTTTCCCAGTCTATTTTGTGGAGTCTAATCATGCTACTTGCTTTATTGGAAACTTTTTTTGCTGTGAGTGCCATATTGTATTATTTTTGTAATGTTATTGAACAAATTCCAATAATATTTTGTGCCTATATGAAATCCAGAAACCTTTTTATGTACTTTAGGGGTGAGTTTATTCACAGCACAATGTGACTTACCCGAGAGGTCATGTGTCAACAACAGTTTTCACAATCTTCAGTCTTGTCACTGTCTTTCTTTCCTGGTCTCTCCTTGTCTTGGGACCCTACTGTTAGTGCACTCTGTACTCAAACTGTCCTTTGTGTCTCTACTTCCAGCTTAATCTTAATATTTGTTCACAGTCCATAGTCATATAATAAATTATACCAATTTTATGTAGCCCTACCACGAGAGCATGAAGGATCATATTTTCACCTTAAAGCGGTGTAAGTACGATCTGTCTTTACCAACTGGTGTACTGGGCAGTAATTTGAAATTCGGAGTGCAATTATGAGCTTATGCTTGAGTAAAATACTTAGTTTGTCGACCTTTTTTGAACTATTCTCTACTTGTTTGTCCACATATTTTTAATTTGTCCTGCTTTGCTTGACTCCTCCTGATTTCTGTTCTCTCTAGTTCTGGACTCTTTCTGGTTTTGGACTGCTCCTGATCGCTGGGATCCTCTTCGTTTCTGTACTCTCCTGTTTCTGGACTTCTCCTCATTATGGACACCTATTGGACTTAGGACTCTCCTGGTCTCTGGACTCGTACTTTTCTTGACTCCCCCTGGTTTCCATGCTCTCATGCTTCAGAACTCCTCCTGTTCTCGGGGCTCTTCATGGCTATTAAGTATTCCTGGTCTCTGGACTTTCCTGGTCTTTGGAATTCTGCTTATCTCTGAACTTCTCCTGTCCTCATCAGTCGATTCTTCTGTCATCTAGATTCTACTTATCAGTCCACTCTACTGATTTCTTAAGCTTACCTATTTTATTTTCCAATCCTTCCTTTTTATATCAGTCCTCACAACATGGTGGAGGGAATGAATAGCAAATTCCAGTTGCCTCGCAGTCAAAGCCTCTTGTTCGAGTAATACACATTCAACACCCTGTAATACCCGACAGTTCTGAAAACTTTCACAGCCGCTCTGGCCCCAAGACAATAGTTTTTTGATTTTCACGTTTTCTACACCTTCCAGGTTTTTTTTTTTTTTTAAATCCTCGCATTAAATAATGATGAACAAAATGTCTATTTGTACAGACCTGATTACCTTATATTAACAATCACATCTTTGTAATTTAGTGCGCTTCATTGGTATATAAACGTTTTTATTTCAGTGAATACTTCATCGAAAATTAAGTGCTCCATCATTGATTCTGGAGCAGGAAAAACTACTTTTGTCCAAGAAGATAATGTTTATGAATGCCCAAGATTAGCATATTTCTTCTGCCTCAGTGAGATTGTCTACCAGAGGACAGCTGTTTTCAAAAACTTGATTAAACATTTTGAAAATACAAAATATTAACTTATTTTATTTAATAAGGAGTTGCAATTGCTTCTAATAATATCTGTATTATTTGTCTTTTTTAAATGTTTCATAATTATGTAATAAATTTTTTAACAACATCAATGCTATTATTTTTTATGTTTGGTTTGTGAGATAAAACTGATTGTTATACCTAGAGAAAATTAAAATTAATCAGAATAAAATGGAGGCGATAGTTTTCAGAAAGTGTAGACCATTGCTGGACAAGATGGCCAGGCTGATGCTCCAGTATGCGTACCTCTCCTAGAATCACATATGGACTAATACAAGCTGTTGTCCATTAAATTACCTTCTTTTTTATTTCAAATTAAGTCCTTCTTTAAAGCATTAAATCATCTTATGAGATGGTATGAAATATAAAAATGCAAAGTAAAATTCCAATATATTTGTGATTTTTTTTAAAGTATAAAATTATTGAAGAAACTCAAAATAATCTAAATAAATGTGAAAAACCAAATTGAAGGAATGAGACTTAATCAGATAATAAACCATTTTCACCAAAATGACAAACCTTGTAACTTAAGAGAATACCACCGACCAGGATGTTTTCCCAATATACAAATATAATGGATAGCATCCTAAAACCTAAGATTAAAGGAAAAATTGAAATAAAAAATAAAATAGACAATGTGGCTGGTCTAAATGGGCTGAACAATAGAGGATTATGCACTTTTCACATACCGATTAGACAAACTGTGAGTGAAATATTATTACCCTTACCCAGTTAAAAGAGATGGTGGGCCTATAATGATAATCAACCTGCCGCAGAACTCCAGATAACATCAAAATTGATTTAGAAGAAAATGCATCCCAGATTGAAAAAATCAAACCATTTGAGAAAAAGGTTTCACCTCGTCAGATAAAAAAAAACCCTACCTATTTGATCTACTTCAAAAGTGGCATCTTCGTAAAGGAGATTAACAAAAAATCACAAGGATGTTTGCCACAGTAGAATCCCGTGTAAAAAATACATGAATAGTGATCCAGTATTCCACTGCTACCTTTGTCAGGCCTTGACCATTTTCACTCTGCGGCACTTTCTTTATAGTTGGCCAATTAGACAGTCTATAAGTAAATTAGTGAATACCAAAAGGAATAAGCATAGAAATCTTCAGATATAATGGCATAATTGGGCAATTTATTACATTTCACTATTTTTCATTCTTACTGTTGAAAGGGGAAAATTAAAAAAAAATTTCTTTTTGTACTGGCGTGGCCAGATTCAGACGGATACGAGTTGCCCTCGGCAAGGTTGAAGATGTGCAGGCAGTCTTGGGAGCCGCAGGACACCCAGCCAGGACATCAGTGATGAGTGGGGCCCGGCCAGCGAGGTTTGAATTGAAGGGGTTGGTCAGTGTGAATGGTTTGGAACAAAAAGAGAAAAAGGGCATGATCGTGATTTTTTAAATTTTTTGGACATTCTTTTCTTGTTGTGCAGCAGAGAGTTTGAGTGTAAGAGGTGAGAAACACGCTGGGGCAAGAAGAAAAATTATCAGGACGAGTTTTGTACTTTTATTTTAATAAGATTTGTTTTTTGACCATTTTTATTACTGTAGAAGAGAACTTGTTTTTTTCTGTCTTCTTCCAATACAGTGGACATTGTTATTTAATTTTTTTTTTACCCTGAGGGTTCACTGTTTCCTGAAGAACCAAAAAAACAGTGTGCGCCCAATTTTAGGAGGAAGAAACAGTCAAGAAAAATCTCCATTGAGCCCCAGGCACCTGGAAACCGGGTAGATTCTTAACTGCATGAGGAGGAATCAGTAACAGTACTAAGAGTTAACGTTTTTTTAAAGGTATTTTTGTTTAAACTAGGCTAGATAAACAGTTAACAAAAGTCTCAGTTACTTAACGAGTTCCTCGAGGATCTCACTTATACACTAAATCCCTTCATAATGTCTTATGAAGGACATCCAACACTCTCCCATCACTCCTGCTCTACTTATACTCCCGTATAAATCCCCTCCGCCCGAATAACTGCATGGACATCTCTGTAAGGTAAAGGTCCTGGGTTCGAATATTCATTTTTGCCTTAACCTCGGGCTTGGTTGATTTGAAAAGCTAGTGTCACGAGCGGGATTCAAACCCATGCCCTATGAATGGCTCAATATGCCGTTGCTCTAACCACTTGTGCTATCATGACCGCCATCCACTTGGACACCAACTCCTCCTCTCAACCTATATTTTGAATTTTACCTCTTTTTACCATTTTTCAAATGTCGTACAATTAGACTTCGATTTTCAGCGACTTATGAAGCGGCCACAGGGGGGCATTAGCAAAATGATTACTTCTTTAATTATTATATTGATCCATTTAGCAGTCACAATTGACCATATTAATTATTTCACTTAATTATTCTTTTTTATCTAAGGTCTTGATTGAGATGAAAAAAAAAAAATAGTTGGTGACCATGTCGATGGAAATCATGTTAGCTCAAATGGTTGTTAAAGCAGTGATGTATTCAGCTGTAGGTCATGGGTTTGAATCTTGCTCATGACAAGCTTTTTCATCTTAACCAAAACCTTAGATAAAAAGTTTAATTAATTAAAAAATGAATATGGTCAATTATAACTACTAAACATATTATATTAGCATGTTAATATGAACAAAACAGGTTCAAATATAGTATTTTTTTAATCATCAAATAAATCTTACTATTGCAAAACGGTAGGAAAAACAAAACAAAAATATATCTATAAAACGTGTATAACATGAAAATATAAATTTATTTTACTAAATTCACCATTCTTCCAATATGAAATAAAACTTTAACAATAACATAAAATTCAATGGACAAACTGTTTGAGTAGAGATAACTTTTTACAATTGATAAAATATTATTCAAAATGTTTCAATCTAAAAATCTACTTGATTGATATAATAAATAATTGAATAAGTAGAAACATTTCAGATTTAAAAAAATGCTTAAATAAGTTTTGAAGAAAAGAGGGCTTGTGTGTGTCTATTTTTTATACAAAACTTGTAAACAATCGNTCAAATGTATGAGAAAAACTCTCTTAAATTACCTTCACTAATGATTCACATAAATAGAATTTTTTTTCTCCAAAACTGCGCCAAAGATCCACTGGCCTAAAATCTACAAGTATGACAGTAAGATAAATAAAATATATATACGTATGTAATCACCTTATTGTCACTGCATACATTTTACAACAAACTGATTTAAAAAAAAAAATCTTTTTTTACAAGGTTTAGTCAAAAGAAATCCACTTTTAGAATTTGTTATCAATAACATGTTAACTAGTCAACATACCTTAATTTAAAAATAATAATGTTACAGAGTAACAATGAAAAAAGTTCAAAATTTTCTTACAAATACAAAAAAAAAAAGAAGCATATTATTAATAAATGTCTATAGATTTACACATAAGGTAAGAAATAGAAATATGGTTCTTCCCAATTTTTTTCCTACTTTCCAACTTTTCTGTTGAATAGTGGTAATTTTAAGTTATTAGTTGTACTTAATTTTTAATAATTAAATATTTGCTCGAAAAAGTTACAAATGAATATTTGAAAAAAAAAAAAAACTTTAGGTCAGATCAAACTTGTAGCTTTGTTCAATTGGCATATTCAGTTACATAATTTTATCATAAAAAATGCCTAATTTTATTTTTATTTATTTTTTTAATATTTTATTTATTTATTTTTTTTGTTTTTGATGTACTGCTATGCCATCCCAAGTTTAAATATTATATTCGTACTGTCCCTTAAATTACTATGATTTCATTTTTGGAATGAAATAAATCAAAATTTGGAACATTAACAATTAAACACACTGAAAATATAAGCATGTACTGGGGTTTTTTTAAAACATAAACTTAATAATAATAATAAAAAGCATCTACAAATGAAAAATTGTTGTCAATTTAAACAGGGCAAATATTGCACAAAAGTCATTTGGTTTTTGCTTTTTAAACTTAGGACTTCAATGTGATCTCAAATCATTATTTAAAAAATAATATATAAAAAAAATACATTTAGAAAAACAAACTCAGTAACAATGTATTTTTAACGTACACCATGTCAGTCTTAAGTCTTAAAATTCTCCAAAACAGAAAATCACAATGAAGCCTGCTCATTTAGCTTTTCTAAATTATTTGATTAATTTTCAAACAAGGCCAAAATTATATTAAACTTTCAACTCAATTTGACCGAAAAAATCATGTACCTTCATCAAAAAGGATTTTTTATTTTATTATTTGAACAAGTGAAGTAATTTCAAACGGCAAAATAATTAAATGTTTAAATGTTCCTCCAGGCAGCAACTAAGCTTAGATGATTTGCTTTTATTTCAAATAATAAATTAGCTTTAGTGCTAAACTATTCTATGTCAAACTTAAAGAAGAAAAAATAGAAGAAACCTTTCGTAAACATGTGAAAGCACATGGATCTTCTTTGTTTTATTTTTTTATTCTGGATATTCTACTATTTGCTTTAGTGCAGTTTGCTAAATAAATCATTATGAAGGTATAGTCCAATGAAAGGTCTATTAGTATTACATCTTTTCCTTTTATTATTAATGAATTATTTTATTTAGTAGTAATAAAAGATAGATTGGCATTTTGCTGGTCATAATCCGTATTTTTCCTGGAACAAAAAGAAAATACATTGTAACAATTGTATTATAATTTTATTTTTAAATGAATAAGATAAACTCCAAGATATTTGAAACTAGGACATTATGTGACAAATATGAGAATTGGTAACCACTAATCATTAAAATTAGTTATTGTAATAAATTACATAAATGTAACAAAAAATCAAATGGAGATGCTATCCAGCAAGAGCGATCACAGGGCCATTGCAGCAGGATACTGCTACTTCTTTTATAAAGGGAACATTTAGATCATTGAATTGTGAGGTTGGAAACGTAGAATGGGGGATGTTAACAATAGATTTGAGAAATCTGTGGAGATTTGACGTTTGTTGTAGTATGTCCATCGAGTTGTGTATGAGTATTTTGTTCGGTTCAGTCCTGTCATTTTGATTATGGGGTTTCCAGGTTAGTCGCTGTTCTAGATACAGCCCGAGGCAGCGAATGATGTTTTCCGTTTGAAGGGGGTGAGGTTTAAAGCCAAGTCAAAGCCATCCTTTTCCCTCAAATTCATAAAGAAAAGTAAGACTTGAAAAGTTGTATTTTGAAACTTTCAATATTAACACGGATTATAATTGTTTTTATGATGTTAATTCCAAACCTGGATGGAAGACATAACACCGTTAGCGAGGGAGCTGAGCTTTCCAGCAACCTTTGTAACGCCTTGTCTGACACTTTCCCTGACATCGTCCAAATCTGGAGTTTGTATCTGACTCGCCAGACCAGATGATCTGTTATTGCACTCGTTTCTTCCAAAGTAGTCAGCAGAAGAGATACTAGTCGACCCTTCAAATCTGGACAAGTTGCTATTCCTTTCCCACTGAAATGCATTTTCTAATAAAGTAAAAACCGAGAATTTTTTTTTTTACTTTTAAATTCAGATTTGGGGCACTTACCTGAGTATCGGATTTGTCCGAAAAATACTGATCCGATGAAATTGATTTAGCGGTACCGAATTTCTTCTGCGCCTCGCTCAATCCAGCCGAAGACGATCTTGTTATCTTTAAGGGTTTTTCTGAAGTGAAATCGCCAAACGACTTTTCATAGGATTTGTTGTGAATTTTATCAAATAACTTGTTCTGTATTGGCATTTTCGTTTCAAACTGATCATTGCTTTTACTCTTTCCAAACAGATCACTCGTGTCTTTAGAGTCTGAAAACAGATTCTGCGAGTCCGATGATGTCTTAAACCTTAAAAAAAAAGACAAATATTAATAATTTATCAGCCATAAAATCAAATTATACAAAAATAATGAATGAAATGACATAAATATCGGAATACTGACATATAAGATGAATTTTGGTTAGATGAGAAATTAAAATCGTCAAAAAAGCTCTCTGTCTTTCTTGATTTTTGTAGATTTTCTTGCTGAATGGTTTTCATATCACTCAACGCTGAATGAGAAACACCGCTAGAATGAGAAAGAATCATGAAATGTAATTTAAAATTTGTACAAACACTTTTACATCGAAATTCTTTTGTACAAAAGGACTAAGTCTAGATTTTAAACTATTAGCCATTACTACTTTTAAGTGAAATTTTCTTAATATTTACATTTGGATATATTCAAATTTGAATTTAAACTTAAACAAGTCTGTGAATCTGTTTTAGGTATGCATTGGTATTATTGTGTGTACTAATTACCTTCTTGCCCCAAAACCCATGCCAAGCCTCTCCATTTGTTTAGCCTTTTTGGGATCGACGGCTCTTATTTTCTCTTCTTCTTTCTTTTGTTTCATACTGAGATCTTCATAAGCTAGTCTCATGAAGTTGAACTTAAAAAAGATATACATTCATATTTACATATTACATATTTGTAAAACAAAACAAAAAATATTAAAAATACAAAGAATCTTAATTAAATTTTATTACATATCAATAAAAGTATTTTAAAAAAGGCAATTATGATAAGATATACGCCGGGAGGGAAATTGAAAAAAAAAAAAAAAAAAAAAAAAGAATGGTAAGATAACAGGATTTAATTTTAATAATAATTATCAACTGTAAAAGTCCCCCAGGTCATCCAGGTGTTCCCAGCAATAAATGTCGAGAAATAACCTAGCTAGACTAAAGAACAAGGAATTCTTCGACCCGACTCACAGTAGAATAAGCGCATTTTGACCAATTGTCAGTAAACATAAGGAGAAAGATGCAAGACTTGCTCATACAACGAGTTCATAGAGGTCTAGGGAAAAGTACCTAAGGATGACTACAGACCCACTGAAGATGACTATAAGAAGACATCAATACATAACGAGCTATGACACGCTGAGGCTAAAATAGACCTGTATAGGCTGAATCTCCAGGAATCCTTTTTAACAGCCCTTGACAGTGTATACCCCTGCAGAAAATGCCTGAATGGGAAAAAATCTGTGCTAAGAATGATATCCTCCAGGCTGCTGACAAAAGACTGGACTGACTAAGAATAAGCAACAGACAGCTTTGGGCGGTATGTGGTCTAATATTCCAAAGGAGATGGGACTTGCTTAACCTTCAACCCATGCACACTCCTCAGTAATGTAAAATCGATGACTCACATGAAAACTTTCTTCAGTTAAAAAGTAATTACTTGCTCCTATTGGGGCAGTAACATAATCTAACCTTACCCTAATGCTAGTCCTAACCTAATCAAAACCTAACCTATGCATACTACCAAATAACAAAATTAGTAAGATGAAAAATTTTCTTAAATAAAAACTTAACTAAACCTAACGCAGTTTAACCCTAAACTTAACCTAACAACCATAACCATGCCTATTATCTCATAACCAACACAACTCTAACCTTAACCTAATCTAAAACCGATCCTGCCCACCACCACTCAACCTGACCCTAAACCCAACCCATGCCTACTCCCCAATAATGCACAATCAATGACTCAAAAAAAAAATTAATTTAAAAATTAAAGTAAACTGTCAAGGCTGAACCTAACTCAAATCTAACCAGTCCCTAACCCTAACTTTAGTGCAAAATTGATGACACAATAACTTTCCTTAATCAAAAATTAAACAACTTAGTCTTGTCAAGGTGGTAACATAATCTATCTTTAAGCCAACCCTTAAGGTAAACTAACTGAAGTCTCTAACCTGACCCTATTTCGCCCTGAACCTAACCTCATACTTACTCTGCCTAACATTCACAACCCACCCCTAACCGTAAACCTAATCTAACCAAGTTTAACCCATTCACATTCCCTGGTAACATGAAATTGTTGTGATAGTTGACATGAAAACTTTTCTTAATTAAAAAGTGATATATTTAGATATGTCGCAGGTTAGATATAAAAAAAGTTCACTAAGGAGTGAAAACTCAAAAGGTGGGGTTGAGATGGGAAGTTGGTGTCCGAGTGGATCGAGGTCACGATAGCTCAAGCGGTAGAGCAGCGGCGTATCTAGCCGAAGATCGTGGGTTCGAATCCCACTCGTGCCATTGACTTTTTATCTCAACTAAAAACCTTAATTAATTGTATTAAAAACAAGATTGAACCAAAGTGATATAGTATGCATAGGTTAGGTTTTGATTAGGTTAGGACTAGCATTAGGGTAGGGTTAGATTATGTTACTGCCCCAATAGGAGCAAGTAATTACTTTTTAACTGAAGAAAGTTTTCAAAAAATATATTCTGTGATATATTTTTTTTATATGAACCTTTCCTTTCCAAGTTGTTACATAATCTAAAATGTAACCTTACTGTATCACCTAAAGAAACCCAACCTAACCCTAACCTGTTCCTAACCCTATCTATCCCTAACCCAAAACCACTGTCTTTAACCCTAAGACACATGTGCACTCCCTAGTGGCATGAACTAAATGACAAAAACAGCTTTGAAAAAGTGCATATCCACCCCAAAAACATATCCATGTTAAAAATCAAACAGTTCACCATACTCTCATATAATTACACATTCTATTAGAAAAGATTGTTATGCATTATTGTTGTAATTCCTCGACCTGATTCTAACATAACAACAGAACGAACAAACCCAGCACCTTTTAAATGCAGGCAAGAAAAAATATGATATTTACAGAAAGGTTTTAGGTGTGTGATGTGTATTTTTTTAACACAATTAATTAAAACAAAAAAAATACACAGAATTATATGTGCAGTTACCTGTTCTTCTTTTTCTTTTTCTGTTACATCATCTTGTTTGACATCTTCAAATGTTTGTACTCTCAACTTTTCAGCTAATTCGGCCTCTTTCTCGATATCGGCAAAGTTCACGTTCACCTTCTGTGCGCCCAAACCACCCATCATTTTCTTGGCTGCTAGCTGTATGATTGAAAGATATAAATAGAAATCCGTTATGTATTTATGCATTTAGCTTACACCGGTTCGCTTTGTCTGGTGGATTCTGCCTCCGATTGTCGGCTTTCTCGGCTTGTCATCTTCGGAAACACTCAGAGAAATATCAGGTGTTTTTGTAATAGTTTCTTCGGCGGGCTTGCCTGCAGTTTTAACTGGTTTATTCATTGTGGCATTAGTACATTGATCCTGCAATGAGTTTTAACGTTTTATTTAACATTTTCCATATATATAATAGAATAAATTTATGAAAACTTGTATGTAAATATTGCAATGTTAGTAATCATATTTAAGAGAGAAAACTTATAAAACAACAACTCATTGAAAGACAAGCACTCAACTCTCACCTGTCGACATCTCAAGACAAGGGTGCCTCCTTCGTACCATGTCATAAATTTTATATAAAAACTCCTAATATTTATACACAGTTTGTAAAAAATAATTAATACATTAAGGTAAAAACTGATCACAGTCAAACAGTTCATTATATCACTTATAGTTTTACGGAAAATTTCACTTTCATATATTTCTTACATTTTACTCATACATTTTGTAGGAAATAGTTTAAATTAGCAGTTTGTTTATTAGGGCGATTAATTTTCATTATTACCTCAAGCACATCAACAGTCCCTGTATGTTCGTCGAAGAAATCCAATTCTTTTTCTTTCTCTTCTTCCTGCGGTTCAGGCTCTAAGTTTAACTGTAAAAGAATCCCATGTGAAACATACACACACATGCTTAACTAAGATTTGAAATTTAATGTTACATCTCTTGGGTACTTCATTACTCAAAAAATAAGAGAATAATTTAAGTGGACATGGCCAAGAGTAAAACGTGTTAATCTTAAAAAATTATAAAATAAAAGCAAAACTGTTAAAATGTCTTTATTTACCGTATTCCCATGAGTAGCAATAGCATGGCTGGCGGCATTCTCTAATTTTTCTTTATATAAATGAGCAGTTCGTGAATTGTACTTCGTTTGAAAATCTTTAGTGGTACAGTCATGCTGAGCAAAGAAGTGTTTCTGCAACAAAAAGCAAATTGACCAGTTAACTTTTTTGCAATTATTAAAAAAAAATTGTAACTCTTCTTCTGTTGTTTTTGTAATCTGTCCTCAAAACATTACACTTTGGATAAACAAGGCCATAAACCACCAAATAAAGGGAAGTTAGAAGAGGCATCAGGTACTCGTAGTTAAATTGTGTGTGTGTGGCTCAAACCTGAAATGAAGTTATTAGACATCCATACTAAATTTTTGTTTTGTAAGCAGGCCTTTTTTATTTTTATTTTTTTGCTATATACTATTGGCTAGTTGGTAGCGTTGATTTTTCCCCTGCTGCAGGTCAACAACATGTCTCTCTATGATGCAGCAACTTTGGAGACAGATTTGGCATATTCTTCCTGTCTTGCCTCACTGTACCACAAGAATTTTCCTTTTTTTTTTTTTTTTTTTTTTTTTTTTAAATGACTACATATTGTAAAAAATTCAGGGCTGGTATGTTGGTTGTCAGTAAACAACATATGGCTTATATCCAAATAACTTTCCAGAATGAGAATGAATGCCCTCATCCACCGGATTATTTCTAGATCACATGATTTTTGACATGTGTAAACAATAGTAGCTTTTCTCCATTGAATTACTCTTTATGTTCAAATTAACCCTTTTTAATTTGTAATACCCCTTTTTACCTCAATATAACCTGTTTCCCCATCAAATTAACCTTTTAATCTGAAATTTAATCACTTTAATCCCAGGTTAATATATTAACCTTTTCCCCCATCATATTAATCTTTTCAATTGGAAATCCCCTTTTACACCTCCAAATAACCCTTTTCTCCTTTCAATTTTTCTTTTTCAACTTAACTTTTTTTTTAAACTTCAAGTTAACTCTTTTTAATTTGAAATTAATCCCATTTACCTTAAATTTCAAATTAACCTTTTTTCACTTTAAATTACCCCCTTTTTAATTTCAAATTAACCTTTTTATTTAAACTTCCATTTAACCCTTTTTACCTTCAATTTAATCCTATTTTAATTTCAAACTAACTGTTTTTAACATCAAATAACTCTTTTTTAATTTCGAATTAACTTTTTTAAACTTCAAGTTAACTTTTTTTAATCTCAAATGGTTTTCTTTAAAACATTTTCTAAATTCCTTTCTTTAAAACACAAGCAAAAAGCCTAGGTAAGATTTTAACCTAGGAGATGTTATGAAATGAAAGCATGTGAAGTAAATCGTGCATTTGAAAAAAAGTCAAATAATTGGGCTCATAAAAACCGTTTGAAAATTAATTACAATTAAAATGAAATATATTAAAAAAATTCTTCTTTTAATTTAAATACTTAAGTCATCTCAAATCTCTGGGTTTCTGCTATTCAACAGCTCTTAAAGGGCAAAGCATACCAAATCACCACAAATTTTCTTACATCTTCTTAAAACTCCAGGCAATATTGATGATAGGAGGTAGTTTCCATCAGTACACAAGTGTCGTTTACCATTGAAATGTGCAATTCCTTCGACTTCATTTTTAAAAGATTTATAATCAAGCTTGCCTCATTTTTTTTTTTTTTTTTTTTTTGTCAACAGATACCAGGAACTGGAGTTCTCCCTAGGCACTGCAGCTTTTACGCTTGTTGCACTCTTTCCTGGTTGCATTTTGAGGCTTCCCACAAAACATGTGTAAACTAAGCCCTCAGTGTTCTTCCATAAAGGAAAATTGACTTTCAAAGTGGGTCAGGATTGAAGCTATTACCCTTATCAAAAAAATCTAGTAGCAATGGTGGGAATCAAACCCGTGACTGCTGTACTTATTAGCCAAGAGTCTGACACCTTAACAACACAGCTATCACGGTCCCCACGGAAAGGAGGGCTGCTCCTATTTTTTTTTTGGGGGGGGGGTCAATTTTTTAAGTGGTTAATGGATACCAGGAACTGGAGTTCTCCCTAGGCACGGCAGCTTTTTTTGTTTGTTGTACTCCTTCCTGGTTCCATTCTAGGGCTTATCTGGGGCTGCAGTCCCAATGGCTGAGAGGGCTACCCTTTTTTGTCTAGTTGATAAGCCTGTCTATTTTCTTTTAAGCCTTCATGTCCCAGAACATTGAGATAACCTTGTTGCATTCTCCTAGGGCCATTCAAAATTAATTTGCAAATAGTCCAAAGAAGAAGAGATCTATGAACTTTTGCATAACAGATCCACGAAGGTCATGGTTCATGAACAGGTTTGTTATGTTGTAACAACTAGTTATCCAAAAATTTGTAATAATAAAACCATTTAAACTCTTAAATACTTTTACTTTGTACATAAAAGGAGTGAGATTTAGAAGGTTTTTGAAGCTTTTATTTAGAAAGCATTTGACAGTTTATATTTGTATCTCAATAAAATTAATAGTATTTTCACTCCCCTGTGGGAAAACCGTGTGCTCGTTATCACGCAACACCGGAAGGGCGAAAATTGCACAAAAAATTAATAATTATTACAAAATACTCACAGCATTGCTATTTCCTCCGAGTTGCATTTTGTGAAGCTGTATCCATGTCCAGTTGGTGTCGAAGAGGGTCGACCGGACGAAAGTAAGATGAACTCCGAGACCCCTGTGAACGGCGGAACAGTCGATGCATATAAAAACCCCGTAGGTGACGCTCGCCCAGGTCGGATTTTTGGCAGCGCAGTCGAAGCAAAACTTAAAAAACAAAAAAAAGATAAAAACGATGGGATTTGAGAAAGAAGATAGACGTGGTGATTGGTGCCAAGGTGAAACGTCAAAACGACTACGTACCTTGTTCGCTGGGATCGATCTCAACCTTTTGAAAAGATTCTCTATGTCTTTCTCCGTAGGTCCTCCACCGGCCATAACGGGCAATTTCGAAAAATATACGAAAAAAGGAAACTTTTGCCTAAATTACGATCAGGATCGACAATATGGTAACAGTGCAATTGCAATCGAGCCCGTTATCGCTAAGAAGGAGGTTAAAATTGTGACAACTCGCACAGGGCCGCACAGAGTGATTAGAACCAATGGGTAAATAACCTACCGCGCTGCCAACGTAACATAGCAAATTTCTCCGTTTAACTCACAAATCAACGTGATTAATTTTGTCCACATCAACAATAAAACCCTCTAAATAAAACTAAAGTTTATAAAATTAACACAATTATTACGAAAAATTGGATAAATTGCATCGAGTAACGAAGGCGAAAAATTATGGGGAAGGGATGAAAAACGTCAATATTTAACAGAAAATATCCCAATGACAAGTATATACAGTTTACAATAAATATTTGTGCACATATAAATAAATATTATATGCAAAAAACAACAACAAACATAACTCATAATACTAAAACAATTGAAAAAATAAAACAAAATTTTACACCGATTTACAAAATTAATCCAACACCCTTAAGTTTTATTATATTTAGGTTTATTCATATTTTGCATACAAAAAATAGGTTTGGTTATAAAAATAATACATTTAAAAAGAAAATGATTATTACCTAATTCTAAAAAAAATCAATTATTGAATAAAGAACAAAAAACAGAAAATTCAAAAACAAAAATATTTTTAAAAAATTGTTTCTCCCCTTTTATACCGAGCATTCCTTGGAAAAGATTTTTAATAAAATCCTGAACAATTCCTTCCCATTTATCAAGAACAGACGTTTCCAACTCTTTTGATCGATTGGATTCAAATTTGGACTTCATGCTGGCCACACGAGCCAACCAGATTCAGGTAGTCATCCACAATACGTGCTCTATGGGGCCTAATTACCTGTAACTAGTGTAGAAAGATAATGGATTTAATTTAAAGCTAATTAAATAATGTGGCGTTACCGATTGTACGAGTGTAGTTAGGTTTGTAAATGTCCCCTGAAACCTGGAAAACCTCAATCTGATTTTAACTCGTACCTCCCAATGTATCTTACTTCCTGTCTGCTGAAGACTTGCGAAAGAATGATCAAGGCACTACTAGAATGGTGACTAGTAGTCAATAAAAAACCGCCCGTCTCACAAATGGGCCTTAGAAAAGAACGATCAATTACCGATGTCCACGGACTACTGGTCGCGGACATACAACTAGGTTTCACAAATAATCAAAACACTCTAGCACTGTTTTTGGACATATTTGCTACTTTTGATTCCGTGGATTTGTTTATTTCATCTGAAAAAATGATAAAAAAGATAGGTTTACCTTTCAAATTTATTAATAACACTATCACACTTATTTTAGAGTAAAACATTTACGTCCAAATAAATAACACCACTCTTGGACTTAGGAAAACTCTGTTTGGTTTGGCACACGGTGGAATTCTAAGCCCTTTGCTATACTTGTTATACGTCACAGACAGAAAATATAATGACAGAAAATGTTAAAATTATACAACTAGCAGATGACATATGTCTTTATTCTACTCACAAGCCCTTAAAGGCGGCGATAGAGGCCATGGATTTGGCGGTGTCCATTTAGTTCGTCATTTCGACAGAAAAATCAAAATATGCTATTTTACGAGATCAAGAAAATCTACTTTCCCTAATACTATGATCCTGGCTCAAAAATCATTTCCGGTGATAGGTGAGGTGAAGTTTCTTGGGCTAATGATTGGACCATAAGCTATCATGGAAAGGTCATTTTGCTACAATTGAGACTGAAGAGAGAAATTCCATAATGCTCTAAAATGTATTTCATATGGACACACCAACCCTAATACCAGCTTACTGTACTATTACCTCTCTATCGCAATTTCAAGGAATAATCGAATTAAGAGATACTCTTCCAGTTTTCTCTACAGAGCTGCAAGTAATCAGAAAACCCCTTGATTGTTATACATTGAATGACTACTCAGGAGAACATCGAGTCTTGGCTGATCTCCAGGAACTTTTACCCATGACCACCTAACTGTGTACACCGATGGATTCATTAAAGCTGGTAGAGTTGGATGCTCTTGGTTCTGCCCATCTTACAATGTAGGGGAATCAATTCCTCGGCCGGCAGAGCTATCAATTAATTCGGCGGAATTATCAGCAATCAAGACAGCAATGACCTTTTTTGCAATCCTCGCGTATTAAAAATCATATTATAATTTGCACGGATAGTCTCAGTGCTATACAATGTTTGCAAAATAAATCGCAACTATCAAAAATTATATCGCAGCCGACGTTAAAAAGATAGACTATAATTTATCTATTATAAAAAAGAGGGTTTCTTTCGTGTGTATTAAAGGTCAAATGTACCTTACGGTAATGAGAAAGCTGACACACTGTCTAAATATGCTACAAAGTTTTGCAACAGTAGAAACATAAAGATTCTCTATACAGATCTTTTCCATCTTTTAGAAACGAAAAATAAAAAAGAATGGCAAACCGTATATATATCTTCAGACAAGGGAATAGCTTATAAGACACTTTTTCCTCTCGTGAAAATAAAATCATGGTTTAGCAACATGGACATGACAAAACATTTTTATTTTTATTTTATTTTTATTTTTTTTTTAGGCGTGGATTGTTATTATAAGTTGTTTATTAATTGAAATGGAGGTTTTTATAGCAGGATTTTTTATAACTAGTGTGTTACATAGCTGAGCTTTTTATAACTATTTTTTAATTTATTTTTTAAACATTTTTACAGCTTATTATTTTTCACTGTTTAATTTTTGTTTTTGTTAATTTTTTAATAGATGGTATTTTAAATCTTGATATTTATTAAGAGCTAGCGTTTTACGCGTGGATTTTTATCAGTTGTTTAGCGTTTTTTGTTAATAACTGGTGTATTAATATTTTTAGTAGTCGCGGTTTATTATACCGGGATTTTTTTATGCCTGAGGTTTTACATAGCTGAGTTTGTTATAGTTATTTTTTTATGTTTGAAATATTTTTATAGCTGGTTTCTTTATAACTGGTGTTTTTTATAGTCGAAGTTTAATTGTTTAATCGTTGTTGTTAGGTGATTTTTTTTATTAAGAGCTGGTGTTTTTTTGCCATTTTTTCAGCCGAGGTTTTTTGGTAGCTGCAGTTGTTTTTGTAATTGGGAATTATTTTTTATGTATTTGATATTTATATTTTTTAAATAGCTGAGATATTTAGTAGGTGTTTTTTAATAGTTGGCGGTTTTTATAGCTGGATTTTTTAATACGTGGTGTTTTTTATAGCTGGATTTTTTAATACGTGGTGTTTTTTATAGCTGGGTTTTTTTGTAACTGGGTTGTTTCATAGCTGATTATTTTTGTAATATTTCCCCCCTTCAATAAAGATATATTATCTACATATGGATTTTTATTTATGTAACTTTAATGGGAGGCAAGTGTTGCGAGACTGAAACTCCAATGAAATCTTTTCTAGCTTCTTGTAGATGTAGGAAAATAATGAAATAATAATCATAAAATACTTATTGACTCTAGTAAGACGTTACTTGTCAGAAATTTAACACCGAAAGGAAAAGCTTAAAAATATCATACTCGGGCGTCAAAAAAGGACCTATTTCTTGGGCGTCACAAAAATGGATTATTTATGACAATCGACGAAGATCTTAATCCGAAAGAATTCATTAATGGATGAGGTCATCCATTTTTCAACAGAGGGGAGGACAATCAAATCAACGTCAAGCAGACAAAAGTATCGACAAACCTATATGTAATATAATATAAAAATTGCTTTAACATTTAGCCAACAATGCAGTACATGCGAATTGACTAAAATAAGAAGACGAAAACCGTTCAAAGTTGATGTGAATAGGTTAAGTGGTGCAAACCTAATTTGACACTTGATCTTTTCCTTTTTTCTCCGATAGCAGAAGTCAATCAAAGTCACATTTTTTTCCTTTAAGTTGTTTTTATTTTAACATAACAAGTGGAAGAAGTTTTTGTATTAAATAATGATATATCAGGTGTGAACATAGGTCAAATCTTTTCAGTAGCACTTCTCACGCTTTGGGGTGCAGGACATCACCTGATGTTATTCAATTAGAAAAAGATCATAGCAAATAATATTTTTTATTTCTGGGTAAGTTTTATACTATATTTTACATATGTATTACCTAAAATAACCACCCAAAAACGGTTCATAGTTGATGCATCTAGGTTAAGTCGTGAAAAACTAATTTGATCGTTGACTTTCTCCTTTTTATCCGAAAGCAAATGTCAATCAAAGTCACAATGTTTTCTTTAAGTTGTTATATTTTATCACAACACGAGGAAGCACGTTTTTGTGTTAAATAATGAGACAGCAGGTGGAAACAGAGATCAAATCTTTTGAGTAGCACTACTCCCTCTTTGGCTATCACCTGATGTTATCCATTTACAAAAAAATCCTAGCAAATAGTCATTTTTATTTCTATCTAAGTTGAATACTTTATTTGATCTGTGTATTACCTAAAATAACAAACCGAAAAGGGATCATAATTGATGTATCTAGGTTAAGTGGTGAAAACTTAATTTGAAACTTGGACTTTTCCTATTGCTGCGAAAGGATCAATCTAAATCACAATTTTTCCTTAATCTGAGGTTTATTTTATTCGGAACAAGTAGAAGAACGTTCTTGCATAAAATAATGGTACAGCAGGTGTCAAATTTGTTAAGTTCCACTTCTCCCTCTCTTTGAATCCACTCTTGGAATTAGGCCATACAGCTAGAAAGTATCGAAAGTCCAGTGGGCTTACAGACTCAGTTTTTTGCCCTCAACACCCGAAGAATAGAACAACTATTAATTTACCGTCGATTCTTTCCAGAATCCAGGTCTTAAGTACAAAATCACTGGGAAAATAGTCGAACGTCTACTCCATAAACGGTACTTGAACGATCTCAATTTATTTCTATTAATTTAATTTATTCATTAGCTGATCGATGATTGGTTAAGGTGTAGTTGATGCAATAATTCGCTTTTATAAATAAATCGCTTTGTCCTTGGGTCTATTCTCTTTAATACTCTTGGGTTTTAGTTAAGCTCTCCCTGTCCAGTAGGATGGGGGACGTCGACAGGGCGTACATACCAAGAGAAAAATGGGCTAACAAAATTGAGTTTGTCCTCTCCGGCATCGGATTCGCCGTCGGCCTCGGAAATATCTGGAGATTCCCTTATTTGTGTTACAAAAACGGAGGAGGTATGTCTTTTATTTAAATCGGGAACTTTTTAAAAGCCGGCTTGCGCGAATATTTAAATTTTTATAGCTCCCAAAGGTATATTTTAAAAAATTAAAAATTTTCAGTTTTCTCCTCTTCTTGCGTTCTCTTCTTCTTCAGAAGGTGAACTGTTGGTGGATCAAATCTTTGATTCAAAATCGACCAAATCCACACAGATCCGCTTATAACTGCACACCCGGAAAAGACACAAAAATTTTCCATCACTGCCATAACAAAAAAAAAGTTTTTTTAATCAACTGCCCGCCTGTCCTTTAACAAAATCAAATTGTACCATCCCAATTTAATTTCCCCCAACATGTCTCGAAGAAGTCAAATATTTCGACCTACAAACAAATTTTTGATTAATAAATCGGCGGACACAAGTTATAAACTTGTATAAATGACCGAGTTTAATATTATAATTTAAACAGGATACTAGATGACTAGAGAATCAGGCCAGTATCATGTTTGAATATCAAAAAGTTAGATTTCTGTTATATTTTTTTTCCAAATATTAATTACATTGTTTTAATTAAAATATTAGGGACTGATTACCAACTGCATATATCATTACGCTCTAAATTTAGCAAACATATAAATACAACTTAAAGAGAAAAGAAAAATTTTGGTGGATTTCTGTGGGAAAATTGTATGGATCTGTTTAGTAGGGTTGTTTCCGGTCATCTTGGTTTGGTCTATCAGACGCGTTTCGGAATTCTGTTTCTTTCAGCAATGGAGTATGTTAACTGAAGGATTCGTTGTTAACCACAAAAGAAGAACAGTAAAAAGCTCAAAATGCCCAAATTAAGTTTTTCACATTGGGGGCGTCGGTGGCCGCAACGGTTTAAGGTCGATTCTTATCTACCAGCATCTGTGCTCTGGCGTTTCCAGCACGTAGCGTGGCAGACAAAAAAAATCATTACATACAAAACATATAGGATACACATATAGGGTTCATATTTAACAAACGTGAGCGGAGCGTGTCAGTGCAGACACGTACCAACACCGGGCAGCATTGTCGCCGAGAATGTTTTGCTTGTGCTGTCATGTGTCTGCGGTTGTCTTTTCTTGTCTGTGTGGTTCAATACGGTTAGTATGAATAGACGACAGACAAGATTTGTGCAATTCCAATAGCTTAGGTGCCTACCTATAATAAATTGCATTATAATTTTAATTATAATGCCCAGTCTCGGTAAACCGAACTTGCGCTAATCCGAATTCCAGCTAAAAGCCGAATCGCCGATCAGTTCAACTTAAAAAAAAAAAAACTTTATTTTACAAAATATATATAATAATATATAAGAATATATATAATAATATTATATATAAATAATAATAAAATATTATAAGAATATTATATATTATATGTGATGAAATGTACGTAATTTGTAATACACGGACTGGAAAGAATCCTGTACATGCATCTGCTTCTGCATATTCTTCATTCTCTTCTTCTTCTAATAACATTGCTGCAGCAGCAAGCTCTTCACTCGAAAAATTTCGAAACGTAGTTCGTTGGTCTGTAAGTGACTGTTGCTGTGATTATCGCATGGTATGAATACTAGTGTCTGTACCGTGTCTGCCACGCTACGTGCTGGACAGGCTCTTGTATTGGTAGATATGAATCGACCTTAGGCGTTGTCACGGCGCTCATCACTGTAAGGTAAAGGTCCCGGTTTGAATCCAGCGGCCCTGCATTCGAACCCTGCATACTTACAAATGGGCTTTTTTTAAAAAAAAAAAACCGGCACCCCGCGAGTTCGTATAACCTCGTTGTTGAAATACCCTCGTTTTTCACCTTGCAGGCCCTCAAGAAGAAAACTTTCTAAGGGCGGGCTTCACTCAAGAGTCAAATATTTGGTCATTCCGTCTCAAAAGATAAGCATAGTCTTTCTGAGTAGGTCGGCCGTGTCAATGGATGGCGTTAGCCACAGACGTAATTCCTGTGATTTATGACTACCCTGACACTGATGGTGAAAGCCCTGCAGCACATGACGGCCCACAAGGATGAGGATAGTAAGTCCAAAATAATGGGAAACGCAAACTATAGGTTTTTCACCTCGCAGGCCGTCAAAAAGAAAATTGTCATTACATCTCCCCATACTCTTATCGGGCTTCATTCAAGAATCAAGCATTTCGTCGTTCTGCCTCAAAAGATAATGGATGGAGATAGACACAGGCGAAATTCCTGTGATCTGACTTGCCCTGCTTGCAACCCTGGCCGACTACTGTTGATGGAAAAAGGGTGAAACTTGTCAGACAGAAAAGCGAGAATAGGTAGATCACAATGACCAAAAACGGCCAATCTAAAGGTTCATCACCCTGTAGACTTCCTTTAAGAGAAATTCTTCTTACTAGTCAAGTCTTTTTATAAGCGGGTTTCACCAAATAAGCAAGCATTTGGTCGTTCTATCTTAAAAGCTAACCTTTTCTTTGTATGTAGCTTGGTTGCTTCCTTCGGTATTTCATTTTGCCAACTTCAGTCTTGAAATCTAGACTTGGCTTCCTTATTACCCTGACCCATCACTATTGGCAAAAGCCCTGCACCACATGATGAACCACAATAGGGAGTATTGTAAGACCAAAACGACCAAATTATAGGTTATTCACTTCGTAGGCCTTCAAAAAGAAAACAGCCATTACGCCTCCTCAACTCTCGTATTATGGGCTTCGTGACGGCAGATTCACACTAATTAAAAATGTCTGTGCCTCACCCTGCTTACTACCCTGACCCATCACCGATAGCAATACGCTGAAACGCGTGACAGACCGACACTGAAGATAGGAAGTCTGAAATCGATTATATACGTTAACAGGGTATGACCAAAATAAACAGAAATGCTATCGGTTTTTTTCAACTGTGCAGTTCTCAGGAAGAAATGTCATTAAGTCTTTTAAACTCTCGACTTTGAACTGGCTTCACTCAAAAATCAGATACCTACTCATTCTGTTTCAAAAGCTACATTTTCTTTCTCTGTAGATTGACCGATTCAATAGGTTTTTCACACCCCTCAACCTTCAAGAAGAAAACTGCCATTAAGTCTTCTAAACTTAAGTCTTAAGGGTTTCACTCCAGAATCAAGCATTTGGTATTTCCGTCCCAACTCTACCATTTTCTTTCTCAGCAGTATGGCTGTTTTGGTGGATGGCATTAGGCACAGGTGTCGATTCACACAATGAAAGAAGTCTGCAACTTGCCTCACCTTGCTTATAACTCTGACCAACCGCTTATAATGGGGAAAGGTCAAATTGCATGATAGGCCAAGACAGTGAGTACAGTTAGTCCCTAATGACCAGAAATAACCACTCTGTTGGCTTTTACACATGACCTCAAGAAAAAATCTGTCATTAAGTCTTCTAAACTTAAGTCTTAAAGGCTTCACTCAAAAATCAAGTATTTGGTCCATAACATTTTCTTTCTTTATCGATTGATGAAGTGGCCAGATGGATGGCGTTATAAACAGGCGAAATTCCTGTGATCTACCTTGCCCTGCTTATAACCCTGACCGACCACTAGTGAGGGAGAAAGTCGAAACTTGTCAGACAGACAGACACAATGAAGATGACATGAATACATACTCTATAGAGGTCCAAAGTCATGCATGCTGCGAGTGCCTGTAATCAGGAAGTCCAAAATGAACGGAAACGACCAAGCTATAGGTTTTTCAATCGCGCAGTTCTCAGGAAGAAAACTGCCATTAAGTCTTTTTTTAAATGCCGGCTTTGAGACAGTTTCAATCAAAACTCAAATATTTACTCGTTCTGACTCAAAAACTACATTTTCTTTCTCTGAAGCTTGGCCGTTTCGGTAGATGGCACTAGACACAGGAGAAATTCACAGTTTCACACTAGTAAAGAGTCCCTGACTTATCTCGCCCTGCTTTTACCCCTGACCCATCACAGATGACCAAGGCCAGTTACAGATCGAAACAGTGAGGATAGAAAGTCCTACGTCCGTAGCCGTGCATACTTCAAGTGCCTTTAATCAGGAAATCAAAATGAACCGAAACGACCAGGCTACAGGTTTTTCAACTCCGCAGTTCTCACGAAGAAAACTGGCATTAAGTTTTTTTAAACTATCAACTTTGGGTGGGATTCGCTCAAAAATCAAATATTTACTCGTTCCGTCTCAAAAGCTACATTTTCTTTCTCTGTGGATTGGCCGCTTCGGTAGACAGACGAAATTCACACTAGTAAAGGCGTCTATGACTTACCTCGCCCTGCTTTTACCCCTGGCCTATCACGGATGACGAAGGCCAGTTACAGAACAGTGAGGATAGGACGTCCTATGTAGGTCCTTAGTCGTGCATGCTTCAAGTGCCTTTAATCAGGAAGTCCAAAATAATCAGAGATGACGGAGCTCTTTTCTTATGAGCGGGCTTCATTCAATAATCAAATGTTTGACCCTTTCATTGAACCACGTGCTTTTGCATTTTGTTAACTCCAACAGTGAACATTTAGCACCGAGGGCAAAATTCGCGTAAGTGAAAGTTTTGACTCGCACTTCTTACCTGGCCCAGCACTGTTGGTGAAAGGTCTGCAATTCGTGACGGACCACAACAGTTAGGATAGCGAGTCCAAAAGTTATAGTTTTTTCACCTCGAAGCCGACAAGGACCTGCCTCCCCAATCATAAATTTTATGGGCGGGCTTACTCAAGAATCAAGTATTTAGTCGTTCTGTCCCAATGCTGCCATTTTCTTTCTCTGTATTTTGATCGTCATTTTGGACTTTCTCGCTGTTTTGGTTTGTCACAATTGAAGTCCTGTGACCTTCCTTGCCCTGCTTATAATCCTAAACTACCATTTATGATGGAGAAAGACCGAAATGCTTCAGACAGGACAGCAAGAATCGACAGATCATGATGATCGAAAAATTTGTTAATTTGAGGTGGCCTATATTCGGTGATTTAATCCGTCACTTTTGCCACTTCAATTGTCGATCAGGGGTATAGGCTATGTGAAGCCGAGACAACTACACCCTGCTTATATCCCTGATCCACCAATAAAGTGGTGAAATACCAAGTCATCGGTCAGATAAAACTAGCCATGAGTTATGGCGATTTAACATAGGAAAAATTCAAAAAAATACAAGTCTATTACCCTATTTATATCCCTGACACTAGTGGTGATGGCGGAAAGCTGAAATATACTTAAAAGCCCAAAATCAGCTAGGGTAGGCAGACAAAAATTAAATCATTTTGTTTTGTATAGGGCCATGCCCAGGATGTTAAACCATAAATGCCCAATTTTCTTTAAATATCAAGGTTTTGACACCATTTATTTCCACTACTGTAGAGCTGTTTACAGTTGAAATGGCACTTCAGTCTGCTCCATTGCACTGTTACAAGCGTTTTAAATAGTCATTTAGTGATGAAGCAGCTTATTTCCTGGACATATGCCCTTTCTCCACTAAACTTTGTATTCAAGATTAGATGTTGGCTAAAGAAATTCAGTTTTTTCTGACTTCACTGGACAAAATTGCAATTGCCGGCTTGATACGCCGCTGCTCTACCACTTGAGCTATCGTGACCTCGATCCACTAGTACACCAACTTCCCATCTCAACCGCACCTTTTGAAAAATGGCAAAAAGGAGGGAAAATTCAAAAGATGCGGTTGAGATGGGAAGTTGGTGTCCGAGTGGATCGAGGTCACGATAGCTCAAGTGGTAGAGCAGCGGCGTATCAAGCCGAAGATCGTGGGTTCGAATCCCGCTCGTGCCATTGACTTTTTTATCTCAACTATAAACCTTAATTAATTGTAAATAATTTTTAAATATTGTATTGGCTTTGTATCTTAACCGGTATTGTGTGTTTAAATGTTTCTATTTAGGAGCATTCTTAATACCCTATGTTGTGTGCCTTATTGCCGGTGGGATACCGATATTTTTTTTGGAAGTTGGCCTTGGACAGTACACAAGTGAGGGAGGCATTACTGTCTGGAATATAGTACCACTTTTCAAGGGTAATAAAACTAAATTAATAAATTAGTCAGGTGTTGAATTTTTTTTTTTTTTTTCAGGAATTGGCATAGGGACAACAATAATATGTTTTATATTAAATGTTTATTATATAATAATATTAGCTTGGGCGGCTCATTATTTCTACAATTCTTTGACATTCGAGCTACCCTGGAGCTCGTGCGATAATGAATGGAATACTGAAAACTGTTTTGGCAATTCAAGCATCCGGAACGACAATCGTAGTTGGGTTGACCCAGTTGTTGAATATTGGGAGTAAGTTTAAAAAAAAAATTATTTACTTTACATAAATTTATAATAAATTTTTTTAGGAACAAAGTCTTAGGAATAAGTCCAGGGATAGAACACGTAGGCTCTCTTCAGGTTGAGTTAGCTATTTCTCTTCTTGTCGTGTGGATTTTAGTTTACTTTTGTGTGTGGAATGGCATTAAATCATCAGGGAAGGTAGTATACTTTACAGGTATTACTACCATTGGAACAAATGGAAAAAATATATAAAAATATAGCAATTGGCCGTACGATAGTAGAAAAGATTAGCATATGTGGTAATAAAACCTGAGGGTTTAATGTGTTAAACAATAAATAAAAAATCATTTTTTCAGTATTAAAATATAATACATTCCAATTTTTATGTTTTATATATATTTTTTTATTTATAGCTGTGTTTCCCTATTTTATGTTGACTGCCCTTTTGATACGTGGAGTAACACTTGATGGAGCTGTTGAAGGTATTAAGTTTTACTTACAGCCAGATTTCTCCAAGTTATCTGAGTCACAGGTCGGTTTTATTACTTTTGCACCCAAAAGTCACTTTTGGTGTTCACTGTGTTTTATTAACAGGTTTGGATTGATGCTGGGACGCAAATATTTTTTTCATATGCCATCGCTCTTGGCTGCATGACAGCTCTAGGTTCCTACAACAAATTCAACAATGATTTCATAAAAGACTGTCTTTTTATATCAGTAGTTAATAGCAGTACGAGTATTTATTCAGGATTGGCGGTTTTCAGCGTTCTAGGCTTTATGGCAAAAGAGCAAAATGTTTCAATTGAAGATGTTGCGGAATCAGGACCAGGTCTAGTTTTTATAACGTATCCAAAAGCCGTCGGACAGATGCCGGCTGCACCACTTTGGTCGGCTTTGTTTTTCTTTATGATTCTTCTGATGGGGTTAGATTCGCAATTCGTCGGAGTCGAGGGATTTATAACAGCAGTGGTTGATCTTTTCCCCCAGTACTTACGTGATTCTTCAAACAGAAAAATATTCATTGCTGCCGTTTCATTTGTGAGCTTTTTAATTGGTCTTTTGATGGTTACAAATGTCAGTAAGATCAAACTATGAATATTTTTTCAAGTTAACTTTTAACACTTTTTATTTAATCAGGGAGGAATATACGTTTTCCAATTGTTTGACTATTATGGTGCAAGTGGAATGGTGCTGCTCTGGTTTTGCTTTTTCGAGTGTATTGCTGTAGCCTACTTCTATGGAATGGACAAATTTTATGCAAACGTAAAAGAAATGGTTGGCTACAAGTTACACATTTGGTTTAAAATTTGCTGGAAATGGCTTACACCAATAGTGACAATGGTAAGTTTATCATACATATTTTTCAGTGCACTTTTTTTTATCACTTAAAGAATGACATCGTGTAATTTCATTAAGTCTGTGAATTCAAAAATGAAATTAATTAGGTCAAAACTGATTATTTAAGGTCAGCCATTTAACAAAGCAACAGCAAGCAATTTACAGACAATTTATTATGTGTTAATAATCTCCATCCTTCCTTCTTTGATTACCTCTTGTATAACTCGCCATTGGAAATTTCTAATTGTCCCTTTTTAGTTTAATATCCATAGTAAATTATTTCAATTTTTCATATCTTTGTAAATACGTTGTTTTCATAATGAATTTTTTCGACCTGCTGAATGCTAGGGTCATTGCCAGCTCCTCACGTTTTTTCCTTACGAGTATCAACTAAATGGCATTCATTAAGAACTCTTTTTGGATGGAACATGGATATTTTTTTCTAATTTTTAACCCTTCCACACATGGCTGTAATTCACACATTACAAACAATAACCTAGCTTAAGTTTGGTTAGATGCAGAAACTCCACTGAGTACCAAACCTTAAAACTAATATAAAAGTTACTAACTTAACCTGGGAGGCCAGCAGCCTATGTAACTATGACGTCCTTCCATCATTCACACTAATAAATACATTTATGCAATGTAGAACCTTGCAAACCAAATCGACAATTGAAAGTTCAGGAGCCACCGTGGTATTAATATCACTCGGTGACTCATCATTACACTACTCGCATCCATAACAATAACCTAAAAATAAAATATTCTGCCACAGACCTGTATCCATTCACGGATATAAATACATTCACACGTGATGGTGATTGGCCTTGCCCTGTATATAATCCTGGCCCACAACTGATGGAGAAAGGCCAAAACTCATCAGACAGAAAAGTGAGAATAGGCAGATCAGGATGGTTGAAAACGGCCAATCTAATGGTTCATCCACCTGCAAACATTAAGAAGAATTATTGGAAATTGTTCAAAGAATTCTTCTTATGGGCGGGCTTTACCAAATAATAAAATATTTTGGCTTTCTCAAAAGCAGCCACCATTTTCTTTCTCTGTAGCTGGGCAGTTTCTTTGGGTCATGCATTTCCATTTGGCACCAATGACAAAATTTGCGAAATTAACTCTGGCCATAATTACTCAAGAGTACAAGGGGGACTTTTAATAGACTATAGTGCTTTCTATTAGTTTTTATTTAAATGTTTTTTTTTCTTTATTTTCAGGGTATATTAATTTTTTCAACGGTACAATCTCTACCGCTGACATACAATAGAAAATACATCTACCCGGCATGGGCGATAAATATCGGAAGGGCAATGGCACTGATTCCGATGATAATAATACCACTATACTTCGTTCTTTATTTTATGACAAGAAGTGGCACCTTGAAGGAAGTAATGCCATGAAAAATCACCCTTTTTCATTATAGTAAATTATATTCATGACTATCTTTTTTAGAAATGGAACAAATCGATGAACTCGTCTGTGAAAACTGAATCAAAACAGACCACCAATTTAAAATTAATAGCTTAGTGTTTTACATCAATTTTTTTTAATCTTTATTCAAAAATGACAATTTAAATGCAACTTGAAATATTAATTTATTCTACCAATTTGATTTTATGCGATTGTGTCAATAGAAATTATAATTTTCTTTGATAGATTTATAGAATGTTGAGACAACTCAACAATATTCTTTAACTCTTAAGTTGGCAAAATAAAAAAACTCAATTTTTTTACGATTAGATTCAGTTTTTCTAGATATTCAAAAACCCTGTAAATGTTTTGTCCTTTGGGTTAGCTCATCGAAAAATCTATCACCTATAATATATTGCCAAAAGTGCGTCCTAATTATAAAACTTAAATAAATCAAATAAATTCAATGATGGATGGTTTTATAATATAAATAAACTTAAATATTACCTAACTTGAAGTGTTCCCAAAACGAGTTTTTCTCGGCCTTTTCATTTGTGAAGAAAATGTGGTTATAGTAGGTCGATAACAGCCGAATCATTTCCTATTCAACAGCTTTTTCCGATTCTAGGATTTCAATCTTGACTTTTTTTCTTTTCTCCCCTTACTTTAGAACACGTGATACATAGTATGAAAATAAATAAGTCTTCACTAAGCATAATATTTATTGCAAATATTCAAGGTACATATGATTACAAGTGCATCGCAGTTTAAAAAATATACATTTCTAAAACATTTGTAGACTTGGCAATATATCACCCATGATAAATTTATAAAAATGGTCATAAAAAACAATATTGCTTTAATTTTTAATGTTATAAAATGTTAAATTATGGAATAAATTCATTTTGACCATTACTCTTCAAGGATGAGCTGGAAAATTAATAAGGACAACCTATCTTTGGCATACCTGATTTAGGGAAGGAAAACATAAAAAATAATTTCATGAATTTTATTGCAATATTGTAGTGAAAACAGATGTATATTTTGAATAAAAAAATTTCTTCTCATGAAGAAGACAGAAAAAAAGAAAGAAAATAACGCCTTTTATTAAATATACATGCCAAGTTAAGGGTTAAAGCAAAAATTTTGTAATAATGAATCCATCTGAAACTTTCCATTGTGATTAGATTCAACATTCTGATTTAAATTGTAATATGAAATTGAATAAAGTGAGTGTTGTTTGATCAGATTATTGGAACCTACTTCCTCTTACAAAAAAAAAAAAAAAAAAAAAAAAAAAAAAAAAAAAAAAAAAAAAAAAAAATAAAAAAAAAACAACAAAAAAAAAAAAAAAAAGTATCAATTTTTATCTATAATATGGTGTTTTGTACATGTACATACAAACATAGGAAGACTGGTTTTAACCCATTAATCAGAAAAAATAAACAAAAACAAATCAAAAAAGTCATCCTGGCATGGGTTCCTGGAGACCAAACAACTGTATGAATATCAAATAAAAAAAAAACTTTTGCTTATGCAATAAAAAATGAAGTGAGAATCCGCTGGACTGAAAGAAATTCAAAGTAAATTAATCAAATTTAAAAAAAGACATGCTGGGCCTGCAGAGATTGGGTTTAGAATGGAAAATGTCATATTTACCCAAGTTGCGCATCGGTCATATCAAGGCTAGTGGATTCCTCGGTAAAGTCCACATAAACAGATTGCAAAGAATGAAGGATGACATCCCATATGATCTATGCGCAGCCTTGAAGCAGCAGGCACAGATTGCTGGTTCAATCTCAGGGCTGTAATTATTTTTAACTGTACATAGATCCTTGTGCCTTTGTGTAGATATGTCTTATTCACAGAAACAAATGTATTTATTAAGGTGAATGGAGGGGATTATCAAGTGGAGTAGTGTTAATGTAATTTATTAGAATTAATTAAGGTTTTTAGTTGAGATAAAAAAGTCAATGGCACGAGCGGGATTCGAACCCACGATCTTCGGCTTGATACGCCGCTGCTCTACCACTTGAGCTATTGTGACCTCGATCCACTCGGACACCGACCTCTCATCTCAACTGCACCTTTTGAATTTTCCCTCCTTTATGCCATTTTTTCGAATCCTGCTCGTGCCATTGACTTTTTTATCTCAACTAAAAACCTTAATTAATTGTAATATATTAATTGGACAAGCGGACCACGAAATTAGTGAATTTAGTAATTTATTAGCGTGAATGGAAGGGATTATCCCTAATAATGTCGAGGAATATCGAGTGGAGTAGTGTTAATGCAATTTATTAGTCCATTTATGTTTTAGTGGTCAATTGACCAAGTTACTTCTTTTAATTAATTATTCTTTTTATGTAAGGTGTTGTTGAGATGGGAAGTTGATGTCCGAGTGGATCGAGGTCACGATAGCTCTAGTGGTAGAGCAGCGGCGTATTTAGCCAAAGGTCGTGGGTTCGAAACCCGCTCGTGACACTGACTTTTTTATCTCAACCAAGACCTTACATAAAAAGAATAATGAAATAAAAGCAATTTATTAGTGTGAATAGAGGGGCTTATCAACAATTACCCTGAGGAATATCGAATGCTCTGTGGTAGTGTGAACAAAGTCTGGCGTGTGAATGTAATTTACTAGCAAGAAGTCTTATGCCCATTTACCATTCTCTCACAAAATAAAAATGCTTATCAATTTTTATGTACACACAGCTTACATTACTAATGAATCACAAATTCTTAACACTTTATTGAAAGGCATTGTTTATTTTGTGAGGAGGTATGTTATTAAGGTATGTATTTATATTTATTAATGCATTTTACTTATTACTGGTATTAAACTTTGATTGAGATACATTGCAAACGAAAATATTTATTTACATTGGAGTAATAAATATCACAATATTTTTAAAAAAATCATTTCAAAGCTAAGAATGGTATTTATAACGATTTACATATCACTTTGTATTAATTGTTCAGTAAACCACTCTACACCACCCTGCAGGCCTTCTCCGGTCAGCGCGTTCGTCGCAAATATATGCCACGGTTTGTCTTTGATTTGTTCTAAGCCGAACGCCGCTGCAATTTTAACACTGGACAGCGCTTCCCTCACGTCCATTTTGTTAGCTAGAAATAGAATCGGTACTTTCCTCGCAGCGATGTCGGGGTGCTGAAGGAGTAAGTAAAGTTCTTCCTTGGCAACTGCCAGCCTGAGCCGGTCGCTGCTATCTATTACGAAAATAATCCCATCGCAGTCCTTGTAATACCTTTCCCATAGGTATCTGTATCGTCCTTGTCCAGACATGTCGAATGTTGTGAAAAAAACGTGCTGATCTATCGTAAAAACAGAAAAAAAAATCTATTAATAATACTTCGTTTTTATTTATCTGATGAAATCATCAAAATAATTGACTTAATTGTTATAAAACACAATCAATGTCAGCTAAATAAAATAAAGTGGGTTAAAAATATTCTTTGTCTATTTGTAGGTTGAGAAAAGCAAATGCACCTCAGTAGCTAGAAAAGGATAGATAGCTACAAAAGGCCCCAGGAATGGTAAATACTTATTTTTTTAAATTTTTTTTTTTTTTTTTACTGTTGTTGGCAATAGCCATCTTCAGTGTGTTGTGTGAATCTGTGAATTGTCACACCGACGATAGAAGTTGATGAATGTCAAAACACAACTCACAGGCACACTCAGTAGGGATAGGCAGACCAAAATGATTGGTAATCATCACTCTATAGACCACAGGAGGAAATCTCACAATTTAATAGTCGATTTCTATTGATAAACTTGCGCTGCTTACAACCCTGACCCACCACTGATTATCTAGAAAGGAGAAACAGTTTTTTTTCTGTTTCCACCTTATATTTAGACCCAGCAAAACTGCCTGCCTTACCCAGCTTATAAACCTGACCCATCAGTGATGAAGTAGAAATGCGGAAACAGTTTTTTCTGTTTCTACCTTATAATTACACACAACCAACCTGCCTGCCTTGCCCTGCTTATATCCCTAACCCACCAATGGTGATGTAGAAAGGAAGAAACAGTTTTTTTCTGTTTCTATCTTATAATTTTAGGCGCAGCTAAAATGCCTGCCTTGCTCTGCTTTTAACCTTAACCCACCAATGATGGAATAGCAACGCAGAAACTGTTTTTTTCCTCTTCCGACGTTATATTTAGATCCAACCAAACTACCTGCCTTGCCCTACTTATATCCCTCACCCACAACTGATGATGTAGAAAGGCAGAAACAGATTTATGTCTGTTCTCTCGTTATATTTAGACCTTCTTTTCTACTTTGTTTTCCTGGACTTCTTTAAACAATTTTCTCATTATGTAGTCACTTTTACACTTTTTACAACCATTTTTTCCAGCTTTAATAATATAATTATTAAATTTAATATATATAATTAATATAAATCTTATTACGACGGTGAAAATGTAACTGTAAACGTGAAAATAAATACAAATTATTCTTTAACATCTACAATTTCCTATTGGGAAATTTAGAGTGAATACTTACATTTGAAATGTTCAACATTTAATCCAATCGTGGGCACGATTTCTGAACTTTTATCCCCGTCAGATTTTAATAGACTGACGATAGTTGATTTTCCACTGTTGTTCAAACCAATCATAATGACTTTCACTGATTTCTTTTTCAATCCAAAAAGAGCACTCAGTTTGCTAAATATTCCAGACATCTGACGGGTTTCGGAAAATAAAGGGCAAAGGCAACATCAATCCCGTCTTTGATGGGTTCTTTGTTGAATGGCGGTTGCCATGGCAAAAATGTTCTCGCCCAACGACGCCCTTGGTCATAACTTTCAGCTGAACGCTTTTCAAAAACTTATGGCGTATTCTGATATTAATATGCAACTTTATAGGTTGTTCGTTACGTTCATAATACGATTGGGTTGATCAGAAAGTAAAGTTATTCCTTACCCTATCAATCGTGGTCTGCAATCTTTAGAACCACTTCGTTCGTGGAATATTGCATAGTTGTTTCAAAGATTATGTTTTAATAAATACTTTTGTTCTTTCGTTATTTTTCATTAAAATAGTGATAGGAAGGAAAATGGTTAGAAACGACAAAGCTGCAGGTTTTTACACAGTTCCTCATCAAGAAGAAAATTGTCAATAAATCTTTTACAATTAAATCTTAAGGGCTTCACTCAAAAATCAAGTATTAGTCGGTCTGTTACAAAGCTAAAATTTTCTTTCTGTATCCCTTGGCCTTTTCAGTGGATGGCATTATACGCATAATTCCTGTGATCTACCTTGCCCTGACCCACCACTAGCGAGGGAGAAAGCCAAAACTTGTCAGACAGACAAACACAATGAAGATGACAGGAAGACATACTCTATAGAGGTCCAAAGTCGTGATTGCTGAAAATGCCTCTAATCAGGAAGTCCAAAATGAACGGAAATGACCAAGATATAAGCCCCAGCACTCAGGAAGAAAACTGTTATGTTACTTGGTGACTTCATCTGTCATACTACTCACATCTGTAGTAATAACCTAACTGGACCGACAGGTCTATAAGTTAATCTATATTTCACCTAAGACCCATCCACACAGACTAAACCATTCACACAGATAAATACATTCACATGTGATAGTCACTCAGGTTTTGATATTGTGCCAGTACTGTTTACTTACTATAAGCCATTAACCTAGACTACTAGGTACTAAATATTCCTTTTCTTCAATCACTATCATGGTTTAATATTTTTTCGTTTATTCTTGCAGTATTCTTCAAATAGTATTCTTCAAATTGTGGTGATACTTTCTCCACATATTGGGCACTGTCTGGGTCTTTTTTCTGATTAGGAAGTGCCCATAGGTTAACAGGGTATGGCCAAAATAAACAGAAATGACCAAGCTATAGGTTTTTTCAACTGTGTAGTTCTCAGGAAGAAATGTCATTAAGTCTTTTAAACTCTCGACTTTGGACTGGCTTCACTCAAAAATCAGATACTTACTTATTCTGTTTCAAAAGCTACATTTTCTTTCTCTGTAGCTTGACTGATTCAATAGGTTTTTCACACCCCTCAACCTTCAAGAAGAAAACTGCCATTAAGTCTTATAAACTTAAGTCTTAAGGGTTTCACTCAAGAATCAAGCATTTGGTATTTCCGTCTCAACTCTACCATTTTCTTTCTCAGCAGTATGGCTGTTTTGGAGGATGGCATTAGGCACAGGTGTCAATTCACACAATGAAAGAAGTCTGCAACTTGCCTCACCTTGCTTATACATGGGGAAAGTCAAATTGCATGATAGGCCAAGACAGTGAATATAGTTAGTTAGTTCCTAATGACCAGAAACAACCAATCTGTTAGCTTTTACACATGACCTCAAGAAGAAAACTGTTATTAAGTCTTCCAAACTTAAGTCTTAAGGGCTTCACTGAAAAAACAAGTATTTGGTCATTCTGCCCCTAAAGTTCTTCTTTCTCTGTAACTCGATAATTTCTGATCATTTTGGACTTCCTCACTGTTTTGGTCATCATGTGTTTCTGCATTTTCCCAACTTACAGTCATGGGTATTTAGCACCATTGGCAAAATTCGTTTAAATTGAAGTATTTTTCTACTTATATCCCTGACTCTATCTGACTCTAGTAATGACAGTCCAAACAAGCACCAGGATGATCAGCAATGACTAAATTTACATCACTCCATAGACCTCAAAAAAAAAAATCGATTTCCTTTAATTATTATAGTTCTGATCACTCTGTCACTCAATGTGTCAAATGTGTCCATTGTTTTAAATTATGTTATAATTTGTAGCTTGGATTTTTTAAAAATTATTTTGAGTGCTTTCGTTGAGATTTGCTATTTTGATTGGATGGCATTGGACACAGGTAAAATATCAATGAAAGAAGTCCTGTGCTCTGCCTTTCCCAGCTTATAATGGGAGAGAGAGAGAGAAAGAAAGAAAGGAAGTTAACTGGTGGTCAGCAGTTTGAGTGGAGATGTCGAGCTACCTAGGTTAATTTTTTTTTTTATAATTGGCAATACCAGCTACATTTCATTCTGTATGTATTTCTTATATTTTATTTTATTTAATGCTTGCCCTCTAGCCCCTGGCTTGCTAGCAATTTATAAAGTTGAAAACTGATATGATCCTTAGGATATTAAAAAAAAAAAGACTTGATGGAATTACATTTTTATTATCAAGACAAATCATTTATTTCATTTTTATAAGTTAATTCAAGTTCTTCTACATGGATAGGATGACTAAAATTTATAGGCCCAGGGCAGTGCATTTGCTTTTCTTCTGAACCTAAAAGTAAAAAAAATAGGGTTTTCTTAATAAAATATTAAGTAAGTTATATAGTAAGCTGTCATAACAAAAAAATCAAATTCAATTACATACATCTTTGGCTATCGGTTTCATGTGAGACGTTTGGAATTCCACGTTTGTACCGGCTTCGAAGAACCGGCAGATTACGTAGGGCTTCGTACACTGGGCTCCCATCCGATCCAAAATGCTATTAGAACAAATTTCAATAATGTTGATTTGTAATTGGTGAAATAATGCTGTAAAGACTATATATATACACATATAGACTATGGACAGGACATAAATAACACTGAATAGAAGCCCGTTCCAAGTAGTCACAACGATCCTAACTGTGTGGGGCATGCATAGAAACAAAACTGTCACCTATTAGTGGCATATAAGGAAAAACTTCTTGTTGCAAAACATCTTCAATGTATCACTCAGCTGTCAGGGAACCCTAGGTAAAGATCAAGTTTGTGCGACCTTCTGTAGAAATGCCTGCTCAAACCATCAATACCACCACTTCCGTACCTTTTCCAATGTGAAAATGTTGTAGGGATATGTTGTTTTCCTGTTCTTCTCCAAACCCTCTGTCAGCTGTCAGAAGACCTCAAACAAAGCCTTGTATAATCCAAAAACAAGATTTCAGTTCAATCTTGCTCAGACCAATTGTGATATTCTGCAAAACTTAATCGAGCTGTTCTGTGTCTTGTTAGAAGTTCTGGACCAGTGGCAGGCTATCTCGCATGTAATCCAGCTTCTGAAAGTCTTTGCCTTACGAGCATAAACTTAACATTTCTAACTTGTTGAAGTCGTTGCTTGATCTCAACAGCAGCAGAATGTCGATTACAAAGTACATTTGAAACAATGAAACGATTATCTTTCAGAGATGTGACATGATGGCGACCTGATCCATGCCTTCTTGAGTAACCTCCAGTGTCTTGGTAATGATGGAAGACCCTTCAGACGGTTGTTCTGGGAATGATAAGCCTTGGTTCATATGCTTGTCTTCTTTTATCTTCCAACTATGCTTCGATTCTTGCCGAATCTGTATCGCTTAAAACCATCACTCAAACAAATTAGAAACTTAAAAATGGTACAACTTAAAAGATCAAACCACCGAAACATCAGTGATTTGCCTCACCCTGCTTATATCCCTGACCTACCAGTCATAATCACGAAAGGTCAAAACATGTGATTGGCCAAGTCAGTGAGGATAGGAAGTCAAAAATGATTGGAAACAGCCAAGCTGTAGGTTTTTCACACCACCAACCTTCATTACCAACCATTCTAAACTTAAGTCTTAAGGGTTCACTCAAGAATCAAGCATTTGGCATAAGTCCAACTCTACCATATTCTTTCTCAGTAGCATAGCTGTTTTGGTGGATGGCATTAGGCACAGGTGTAATTCACAAAATGAAGGAGTCAGCAACTTGCCTCACCTTGCTTATAACCCTGACCAACCGCTTATAATGGGGAAAGGTCTTCCTCTCTCTAAGGGGTGCATGCCAGGTCAAGACAGTGAGCATAGCAAGTCCCGAACCCTACCTCCTAACCCTACCCCACATGCTCACTCCAGAGAACTCGACATTCCTCGGGGCACGGTTAAAGCACCACTTCCTGTCATGCTAATAAATTACATTCATTCTAATAAGTTAACGTAAACACCAAACCCAATTAAAAAACATAGATGTCATTCACTTCCACAAAATACTCGATATTCATCAGGGGCAGAATTAAAAAGTCGTGAGATTTCCTCCTATGATCTGCAAGATGGTAAACCTATTCTTGATAATTACTGGACAAAAATCAGCAAGGATAGGTAGACCAACATAATAGTAACTATCAAACTATTGGATTAAAAAACCTTTCTTTCATGCCAATAAATGACATTCATTCCAATTAATTATCATAAACACAACACAAACATTATATACATTTAAAAGTCCCTATGACCCTGAGGTATTGGTACAGCGATCTGTGCTCATTACCATACTCCAAGACAATGCACAGGTTTGACAATGTACTAAAATATTGCTTATCAAGTCTTCTAAAATTGAAAATGTGCTCGACTCTTATTTTATTCTTGAAAAACAGGCTTTCTGGCGCCCATGAATTATTTTTGTGTAAGTCAATATGTTTTTCCCCTTTTGACCCGTTCGTTGAGGACCAGAGGCCAACAACTTTCTTAACCTGATACAGTTTGGTAGGGTTATTTCCATTTTTATGAGCCCAGCAGTTTTTCCTTTGAAGAAGCAGACAGGGCGACCAATGAAGCCACTGGAAGACCCCATGATGCTTTCCAACCTGTCCTGCGGATTATAACTATTAATTTCAAATACTGCTTATAATTAATCATAATAATGCAAGAGTTCTCACAATACTCTCTTACTGAAATAATTAAGTTTAACTCTGCATTTTTGAGTTATTGTGGAATTTCACTCGGATTCTGTGCTTTTTATATTATTTTATTTCACATTTTGTTGAGAAGGCCTTTTCCACTTTCTTTGATCTTCTCAGCCAATTTGACAGATTTTTACCCCTACTCCTTCAGTGGAACAGGCCAAAAAGAATAAAACAGTAGTTTATGCTGAACTGGCATTGGGTTAGTTACTGTCTACATTTTCACTCATGGGAAAAAAAATACTACAAAAATGCGTTTTGGCATTGTACCATCTAGTTTGTAACCATTTAGTTCAACAAACCTGTGAGTGAAGACAGACTCTGTAACCCAATGCCGGTTCAGCACTAGTTCACCAACTCGCAGACCAACACCCAGTTCAACACTAATATTAGTAGACCTTACCAGACATTTACCACTGACGCAATATGTTTTTTTAGTTGGATCTCCTTTAGCGCAGTCAGTTCCAAAAGGGAACCAACCTTCTTCGCCGTTTACCAAATAAAAGCGATTTGCGACAGTCTCATCTTGGCAAGCGATGCGGCAAGATCTATCACTCTCGTCTATGTTAAGGAAAACTTTATCGATTACATACTGATTTTTATATTTACAATCTTAAATTATACCATTTGATGGGGAAAGTTGCATTCCAAAACCAGAAAGCCTTCTCACTTTTTGACTGTACTTTGTGCAAACGTTTGTTGCATGTTCTGTAGGGCTTATAATATTTTGGCATGACTAAAAAAGTTTTTAAAAATTTATTTCATAATGTTAATAATGTAATTAAGTTTTTTTTTACATATTACCTTAGTATTTGGCTGACAAATTTGAATACTGGATGTAGTATTGCAATATCGACAAGCCCTTTTTTCGACTAGTTGTAGACCAAGACCTGGTGAGATACAATTAAAATAACATTCGCTTATTGGGGTCCAAACTCCGACCGGAACTTCTCTTCTTTTATCTCGAGAAACAAAGTTAGTATTTGAGCATGTGTTGGAATTGAGAATAAATATTTCTTCAGGGCCCCCGTTGCATTTGAACTCCTGTGATAGACGAAGGCATTAAAATCAAATGGACGATCGGATTTTTAAATAATTTTACCTGACAGACTCCCGATATGCAATACATCGGAGTATGACGCCTGCTCGTTTGACAAGTTGTGCCGTCAGGGAATGCCCACCCTTTGGAATCAAGGCCTGTTTTTCTTTTATGACACCAAACTGTGCAAGCCTCTTCGGCTAAAAAAGATAATTCATATTTTAACTGTGGTAAACATCAATTACATTAAATTAATTAATGACTTACAGTCAGAACTCATTTTCTGAAACCCTGTTCCAGTGAAATCGCTATCGATTTCCCTCGCTCGTAAGCAAATTTCATCCGCAAAAGACTGGATGCTTGATTTAGGTATCATACTGCACTATAAATCCATACCAACTAGATTACATAATAATAGGAAAAATAGGCCATAACACAATATGGTTTAAAAAACACCTAATGCTTGACAGGAATACTTAAAGACTTAATTTTAAAATTTACTCAACTTATCATAAATAACTTCAAGAGATTTATTTCTTACAAACTTGAATAATCCTTTAAAAATATAAAATTAAGTTTGAATAAAGAATAAAATAATACCTGATGTGGTACACAAGTCTTATATTTTTTATCACTTCCTATGCAAGGATCTCCTCCATTTTCAGGCCTGTAAATAATAAAACTTTATTATGATAAATTTGATTGAATAAAATGTGACTTTATGACTATATTAAATAGGGCTGAAGCTAACAATATTGTCTCACAGCACAAGCCTGGGGTATGCCCTCGTTCATGGCTTCATAAAAAAAACTGCTTTATAAAGCTTTAAAAGGCTCACAGGGCGATCACTCTCTCTCTCTCTGTCTGAAGACATGTACGCCTCGCCAGCAGGACCCAAGATTCACGCCATACCAGAGCATATACACAACCACGACAACAAAGACCTGGGGGTCCATGCCGTCCAAAACCTCACCAACCTGGCTGAGCCAAAGTATAAAACTGGCCTGTAATAGATAGCCAGAATGGGGGAGTCAATGTTGGAGTCAGTGAATCATTGTCAGAGAGAGTGAGAGAAAGAGGGAGGAGAGAGAGAGTGAGAGAGAGAGAGAGAGAGAGAGAGAGAGAGAGAGAGAGAGAGAGAGAGAGANGGAACTTTCTACTTTCTAAAGCAAATAAAATATTTTACATGAGAGTGTTAAAAAGAGCAAGCCTTTATAAAGAAAGAGAAAGAGGGAGGAGAGAGAGAGTGAGAGAGAGAGAGAGAGAGAGAGAGAGAGAGAGAGAGAGAGAGAGAGAAAGAAGTTCATCAGTGCTGTTCTGCAAATAGTGTACTCAGTTCAGCAGTGAGATCAGTCACCCAAATCCAGAGTCTGAGTTCAAAGGTAAAGTCCCGATGAGGAGTTCTTCATCGGAAGAACAGCCTCCAGTGATACTCCACCTCCAAGATCTCTGACCAGAATGACAATATTCCTCCCCGACATGAAGACTCTCCACTGAGCAATAAATCTGATTTCTATGCATGGGGCGCCACCCATTAAACTTGAACATTTGTTTTATTAAATAGATATCTCAGGGCACAAGGGGAAACATACTGTTCCCGATGTGTGCATATTGATCAATTGAAATTACAAAAAAAAAAAAAATCAGATGTCCTTTACCTAGGATTGTTGCAAAATCTTGATGCCACCATAACACCTGTACTTCCTCCTGCAAGGTCTCCACCCGAATCATACAAACAACCTGAAGCGCATTCTGAAAAAGGGCCCCATTCACTCCAACCACCTTTCACAACATGACTGGCTGCTTGTTGGGCATTAAGTCCTCGATCGAGGCATCTCCCGCTTCTACACCACTGTAAAAATAAAGTTTTTATCTGTTTAAAAAAAATTAAAAAAGAAGCAAAATGCTCACTTTGCCTAGGCCACATGACGTTCCCTCAAGGGCAGGATGAGAGGTCCATGTGAATCTTTCCCTCATGCAGTGCAAATCTTGGCAGATGTCGCCTATCGGTTGGGTAGATGAATGTCTACTCCCTCTCCCATACTTCAAAATGCCTAAATAATAATAAGAATTTTAAACAACTTTATCCTTTTCGACATCAAACTTGTTTTACATTGTTGGTCTGCATCAAAACGTTCGCCTGGCAACATCCCTTCTCCACCATGGTCCAACTGTACACTATTCAAACTGTGGTCCATTAAACAATGTGACTGTGGAGTCCTAAAACAAATAAATCAAAGTTACAAATATTTAAGCTCAACTTTAATTGTAGCACTCGTATTTTATCAATCAATCTTAAAAACCTTAGAAATTGGTTTAGATAATTTCTACTGCATGAGGACCACTTAATTTTTCCACTTCCCAATGTCGGTGACATCAAGTAACTCCCAGGATCACAGTTGTTGTCGGCAAGAGGACCATCATGCCTCATACCTAAACTAGAAAGAAAATAGTACTTAATAACTATAAACAGTTTACATTTCAATTTGAAACTATTTTTGTTACATCTCAATAAAGATTGAAACGTTGGCACGATAAAGAAAATGTTTTTCTGAAACCTACATCACACCAGACCCCATCTCACGATTTCTGAATAATTATTCTTAATAATCTTAATATTCTTTTCTTAATCTTAATATTCTTTTTTCCATATTTAGGATGGGTCAGGATTGTAAATAGGGCAAGGCAAGAATACTTTTATGCGAATTGTGACAAATTCAGAAAAGTGAAGAATGTGGCATGCAACACGTCTGACAAAGCACAGCGAGCATAAGGAAATTACTAAAATTTTCTACACAGCAAACTTGAACACAAATTAAAATTGGGAGCTGTTAGGTTAAAAACAGAGAAAACTGCTAAAAGTCAAAGGAGTTCAAGTTAGCTATGTAGAAAGAAAAAACTGCCAGGCAACAACTGGACTATTCCTAAATCTTTAAACTTTTAAATATTGAATAAAACTGTAATTTAGACATTAGAACAGTTCAATTTATATATAGACATAAATTAGGCATTTTAAAATAAATCGAACAGAAAAAAAGACTTTCAAGATATACAATCTGCTATTCAGAAATGGGCTAGACAATAAAATTTTTCCCTCTACAATCAGACAATCATTGCACAAAAAAACTTGATTTTTATTTTATTAATATTTTATTTTTGATTGATTTTCTGTCAAATTCACATCTAATAATTGTAGAAGTTCTTGGCAATTTTTCTCCTATTTATTCTTAGTAAAATGCGTAATAATGAGAGAGATTCTTGAAGGATTTTGGATTGATGAACCCATAGTTTGGTTCTTTCCCAATCATTTTGGCCTGTCTATATATATAAAATCAAGTAAATAGAAAAATATTAGAAATAGACAAAAACGAAAAACTGCCATGCATAAGCTGAACTAATCACAGATTTTTGAACTTTTAAATTTTAACAGAAATAAATTACATTTTAATTAAAATTTAAAAGTTCAAAGAATTTAGAGTATTTCAGACATTGCATGGCGGTATTTTTTTTTTTTCTAGCTAATGAAGTCGAATTTTGGATTTTTACCTGTTTTTATTGTTCTTACCAGGGAAATAATGTGATCAATTATATTATAGGGAGGTCAAATGATTGGAAACGACCAAGTTATTATCGCTCTAAAAACTTTCCAATAATTGATCTCACAATTTTCATTTTATCAAAAACAAAAAACACACACAAAAAAAAACACAAGAAGAAGAATTACCAAGAACTTCTGCAATTATCAGTTTTGCAATGAAAAACTGCAAAATAAAATATTAAAAAAATAACCATATAGGCTTTTTATTAAGTTAAGTATAGAACATCTGATTTTAAAAGCAAATTTTTGTTACCTAGCCAATTTATGAATATTAGATTTTTTTCTTGTATCTTGTTAATTTTTTTCCCTATTTGATTTGTAATTAAAGGTCTAATTTGTCAATCATAAATTTGATTGTTGATGGTTTTTTCTTTCTACAAAGCTAATGCAAACTCTAATTTTGCACTTTCAGCTGTTTTATTTGTTTGTTATAGAATTTCCAATCTGTCAATTATAAGTTGAATAGATTTTATGTTTAAATAACAGTTCTATTCAAAATTTAAAAGTTCAAAGAGTTGGGAACATTACAGCCATTGCTTGACGGTTTTTTCTTGCCATAAAGCTAACACGAACTCGAACTCTAATTTTACACTTTTTGCTGTTTTATTTGTTTGTTATAGAATGTCCAATTTGGCAATTATGTGTTGCATAGATTTTATGTTTAAATTACAGTTCTATTCAAAATTTAAAAGTTCAAAGAGTTGGGAATAATCCAGTCATTGCATGATGTTTTTTTTTACAAAGCTAACGTGAACTCTAATTTTTTACTTTCAGCTGTTTTATTTGTTTGTTATAGAATGTCAAACTTGTCAATTATAATTTGAATAGATTTTATGTTTAAATAACATTTCTATTCAAAATGTAAAAGTTCAAAGAGTTAGGAATAATACAGCCATTGCATGACGGTTTTTTCTTGCTACAAAGCTAACGCGAACTCGAACTCCAATTTTTCACTTTCTGCTGTTTTATTTGTGTGTTATAGAATGTCTACTTTGGCAATTATAAGTTGCATAGATTTTATGTTTAAATTACAGTTCTATTCAAAATTTAAAAGTTCAAAGAGTTGAGAATAATCCAGTCATTGCATGACGTTTTTTTACAAAGCTAACGTGAACTCTAATTTTTTACTTTCAGCTGTTTTATTTGTTTGTTATAGAATGTCAAACTTTTCAATTATAAGTTGAATAGATTTTATGTTTAAATAACATTTCTATTCAAAATGTAAAAGTTCAAAAAGTTAGGAATAATCCACCATTGAATGACAATTTTTTTTTGTAATCCAACGCCAACTTGAGCTCTCATTTTCTACTTTTAATTGTTTTTCCATTTTTACCAAGGGAATTTAATCGTACAATTATATCTCCGTAACTAATTATAATTTAAATAATTTATTGGTATATTGTGAAACATTCCGTATCAATTAGTTGATAAGGTCAATAGGGTTTTGAAGATAACCAGCGTTGCAACCTTCGCCTGGGAGGAGGCGTTCGGCAATCGGCTAGCGTCTGTTGTCATTTGGAATGGAAACGAGCGAACGTTTCATTTAAATATAGTTTATTAAATCGATTCATCCCACGATCCGGCCACCTCGTAAGTATAAACATTTCTCTTTTATATAATTATTTATTTACAGACAAAACTGCTGAAACGCATGTATTTATTTACGTTTAATTCCATGCTAAGGTGAAAAAGATTAGGGCTAAATACGTTTTTACGACGGTCAACCTTTTAATCACTTTTCCCTCGTCGTGTCACTTTATTGAGTTTCATTATCATAATTTATTTAATTTATAATTAGTTTGCTTTTCTCTAAATTCGCCCTAGTTTCACTACCTGATCGTCCAATTTACTCCTAGAACTGCACGAAAGATTTGGTAAATCCATGCCTTCTCTTTCTATCGACTTTCTTGTTTATTTCGTCCACACGTTAAAAATGACCAAATTTAAGGGTTTGTTTTGTTTGTGCATTCAGTCGCCTTATTCCTACTGCATGAAAGTGTGGAAATATAAAACAAAATAAACTACATACAAATTTGAAGCTTACAAAATTAATAGGTTATGGCGTCCTTAGAAACAATTATTTATTATTACTACATGATTTTATGGAACATGGATTGTGTCTGAGTGGTTCAGCATGACTTGGTTCACTCGCAGACCAACTAACACCTACCACCATTTTTGGTTTGTGATGTTTCTTTTTTTTCAAAATCCAAACTTATGGCGTCTTTAGAATCAATTATTGATTAATAATACGTGATTTTACGTTATACATACTCATGTAAAGTATGTTTTGGCTTTATGGTTATCTTCACTCGGTGGGTCTCAGGGTTTCAACATGAGCTAGTTCACTCACAGACCATCAACATTAATATTTTTTTTTTGTGATGTTTCTTTTTTCAACCTTATGGCGTCCTCAGAAACCATTATTTATTATTAATATTCAATTTTATGTTATACATACTCATGTAAAGCATGTTTTGGAATGGTTTATGGTTATCTTTACTCGGTGGGTCTCAGCATTTCAATATGAGTTAATTTACTCACAGATAATCAACACCACCATTTTTATTTTGTGATTCGTTTTTTCAAGCTTATGGTATCCTCAGAAACCATTATTCATTATTAATACACGATTTTATTTTATACATACTCATGTAAAGCATGTTTTGGCATGATTTATGGTTATCTTCACTCGGTAGGTCTCAGAGTTTAACATGAGTTACTTCACTCACAGACCATCAACACCACCATTTTTGTATGTGAAGATTCTTTTTTTTCAAGTTTACAGCATCCTCAGAAACCATTATAATCATACATGATTTTACATTATACATAATCATGTAAAGCATGTTTTGGCATGATTTATGGTTATCTTCGCTAGTTGTGTGCGACTCAGCTTCAATAACCTTTTTTTTTTTTTTACTTCAGATTCTTTGGAAATAGGCCCTTGGTTCCAGTTCATCGCAGCAGCCTTTAAATTAAAACAGCATCAAAATTGTGTGTATTGAATTAATTTAATATTTAATTTGTTGCTGATATGATCCTGATTTACGTTTTTATTCCAGGAAATCAAGATGGAGCCAACAAAAGAGAAAACGTTAAATTTAGACACAGATACGTGGGAAGGACTGATAAACTCATACATTCTCTGGGCAGCGCAAGAGCCCATGGACTTCTTAAAAACAATTCTGCTTCTCCTGTCCCCGCTTCTTGTCATATCGCTCATTCTGTCATGGCGTTTGACAAGAATATTGAACGTTCAAAAGAAGGAAAATACCAAAAAGAACAAAAAGGGGTCAAACGTGTCCAAATTGAGAAAGAATAAATAAAAAAAAGCCAAAAAGCTAATAATCGATGTTTGGTGTAATACTGAATAATTCCAAAAATTCCAATCAGTCAAAAGGTCGGAATTTTCGTTTCCCTGACATTCGTACACTTAAATGATTGTCAGATTTCTTCAAAATTTTGTATTGCTTTATTTAAATTGTGTTCAAAAGTGACATTGGGCTAGTGAACGTATTTGATAATGAGTACATTCATTCCATCCCATTCCATTGTTTATTAGTTGTTTTTTTTAAAGTATAATAAAGTAGATTTGTAATGTTTGAAAAATGTTTTCTTTTTGAATTATTTATAAAATTATTTTGATGTTAATGCCCTTTGTTCTGTGATGCATAGCTTTGTTTGATGCCACGAGCTTTAAACATATAAATGTACTGAATTAAGTAAATAACAAACTTTTAATGTAAACTTTTTAAGATATTAAAGTCATTTAAATACTAATCTTAATTATTTAAACCATTGTACATTTTAGTAATTGTAGGGGATCACAGTGGTTGAGTGGTTAGGGTATGCGACTCGAACTATCAGAATGTTCTGATTTAAAACTGTTCCATTGGCTGGTCCAAATTTCACTCCATGAAATTGATGGTTCAGCTATGGCCAAAAAAGGAAGACCTCTGGCTTATTTGTGTTCCTTTCTTCTAGCCAGAAAAAAATTCTCATGAAGTGTAAGTTTAATTTATTAAAACCCGACCAATTCCTATTCTGCATTGTGTTCGATCTCTGTCAGCTCATTTTTTTACAGGCTCATCCACTTGCTAGTTTTTCCAGAAAGTTTGTCCAGAAACCCAGCTGTGCACTTTTTATGTAATTCTAGCGTTATTATTTTAATCTTATTTTAATCTTATATCTAGCGTTAGCAAATTATTCCTCTGCCTCCTACAACAAAAGACTCCTTGAAAATCTATGGTTCTCCCTTAATCTCTCATGTATTCCATTTAATCCCACACATCACACTGCTTCTGTATCCACCTGGCTTGATCTTATGGTTGTGGATTCCGCCGATAAAGTTCTATCCTCCTCCCAACACCCTATCCCCTTTCTCTCCTCCCACGACTTGATCCAAATCACATATAATATTCCTACCCCACGTCCCGCACCCAAAACCATAAGGTTCCGTCAACTTAATACCCTTTCTTTCGAGGTTTTGAGGCCGGATCTGGAATCGATCGAATGGGCCAACGTTTATCTTGGCTCATCCATCGATTCCATGGTCGGCTTCCTGACCTCCAATCTCCTCAATATCCTTAACAAACATGCCCCCCTAAAATCCCACACTATCCGTCGTCCTCCTTCTCCTTGGTTAAACGACGAAATTAGAGCCCTAATTAAAAGACGGGAAGCTGCAAGAAGGCGCTTTCGTCGAACCAAACTTCCTGAAGACCACTCTTCCTTCCGAGCCCTTCGCAATAAAACCCAATCCTATATCCGTCGGGCCAAAGCCCTTCATTACCAAGAGGCACTCTCCACTACTCCTGATCCTCGAGCAAAATGGAAGCTCCTTCGTAACATTGGCTTATGTCGTCCACCCAACTCACCATCTTCNACCTCACGATAACATTTATTATTTTTGTCTTTGTTTAATATACCTCGTAATTTTCTCTTCTGGCCCGCCTTACTGGCATACATTGTGCCTCGATTTCTATCTATCTTTTTTTTTCCTTTTTTTTTAAATTATGTGACTTCACAGAAGGTTATTATATTTTGTCTCATGTAAATTATTCTAAGGGGACACCAGTCCCAGAATAAAGTTATTTTTCTTCTTCTTCTTCTTCTTCTTATTAGTTTGCTTTAGCAAGAACTGGTTTTGAATACTGTGACATGTTGATGCATTTGCACTCCAGTTATACCATGTGGATCTGTTGGACTTAGAAGCAGGCTCTGGCTACTCAATAGTCAGTCTGCAAGAATTGAAATCTTGAAAATCGAGTATTCCTTGACAAATTGGTGGAAGAGCCAGGTATTTGAAAGTAATATATGGTAAAAATAATGTAATATGGAGGTGTGATTTCCGGGAGAGTGGTTCCAGCCCAAGTTTGCAAGGGACATGGTTGATGGAAAGAAGTGCAGTATTTGAACCCAGTGGGTTTCATGTAAGCCTGCTATCCAAGAAGAACCCATGGTAGTGGAATGTTTGTTGATGGACCTAATTGTTCATCTGCACTGATGGGCAGGTTCTGAGTGTGAACGTCTTTTAATTTTCCTTAATGAGCCAGTGATTGCACCAATCTGTAATGTGGTGTTGTGGGTTGCTTCTGCTGCTCAGATAGGGTCGCGAAAGTTGTAATTTATGTGTATAGGGTGTAAACTGTGAAGAGGTTGGTCCTAGGATACTCCATAGCGGAACACCCTAATAGGCTTTGCCTTATAATTGTCAATTCTCACACTTGAGGAAGGACTTAAGAATAAAGTAGTAAGTGTTGAAGCAGGATACCCTTTAATTTGAAAAGACTGCATGACAGATGTAAAGATCTAAAACCAAATTGATAAGTGGTGATAGTGCTGAATATGCAAGTATTTTGAAGAAGTGGGGTTGGAAATTTTTTTTAGTAGAATTGTAAATCTTCGTTTTAAACAGTCAGGTTCTAGGCAAATGAATGCATAAATGCAACCCTTTTTTTAAGTGAAAAAGGGATGACAGGCTAATCGATTTTTTTAATCTTATGTTCAGACCTAGTAGCTAACAAGGAAGAAACGGTTGGCTGGCCGAGTACGAAAAGATGTGGAAAGAAAATTGAGAAATAAAACCGAGTGACGCGGATATGAGGACGCTTTGAATAAGAAGAGGGACAAAGATTTCCAAGGAGGTCATTGATGGAAAAGACCAATATCAATGCAAAGAAAAAAACGGTTCTTCCTTTTTATAAAATCATTGTCACCTACTCTAAGGGAAAACATCTTTTTTTATAAACTATCCGTTTTGTAATAACTTTCTTTAAATTAAACTTAAAGAAAAGTCGCATAGGCTTGACTAAAGGCGCATAAATCAGTCAGATAATATAATCAGGAACGTTTTTATGGGTCTATAATGTGTAATTATTCAATCAATCTTTGAGACAGACAAAGGAGAAAGAAGGAAGGCCTTAGAAAATCGATTCTCATGACAAAAGTGAGGCACACAATTCAACTTAGATAACCGAGGGGGGCTGATATTTGTCCCTTTTTTTCCATCCACTTTCGCTATTAACTCATATGATGACATGTGTACCATGACATGGATTTTGTCTATAAATACGCATCATAAAAGCCCTGTAATCGTGAAAGTACGGTGACTCCGAGGCAAAGATAATTTATGTATGCAACGTTACATAAAGTATTAATGCCCAATATACAAAAAGGAAATCAACTGTTCAAATTATAGAAGCATTTCAAGGAAGAACAGATAACAATTTGAAGTTGTCAATAGGAAGGGCGGGAAAAAAAACGTGGCGAGATGTCAAGGATAAGGACAGATGCCAAAGGTTCGAAACTGTCGAGGATAAGGAGAAACGAAAAAGTTTTGAGACTGTCGAGGATAAGGATAGGCTCAAAACGTGGCGAGCTGTCAAAAATGAGGGCAGTCGCCAAAGGTTCGAAACTGTCGAGGATAAGGCGAGACGCCAAAGGTTAAAACTATCGAGGGTATGGCGAAACTACAAAGGTTAAAACTGTCGAGGATAAGGAGAGACGCCAAAGGTTTGAAACTCTCGAGGAGAAGGACAAACACAAAACGTGGAGAGATGTGGAGGATAAGGGGAGAAGCCAAAGGTTAAAACTATCGAGGGTATGGCGAAACTATAAAGGTTAAAACTATCGAGAAAAAGGCGAGACGCCAAAGGTTTGAAACTGTCAAGGAGAAGGACAGGCAAAAAACGTGGCAAGCTGTCAAAGATGAGGGCAGTCGCCAGAGGTTCGAAACTGTCAAGGATAAGGAGAGCCGCCAAAGGTTTGAAACTCTCGAGGAGAAGGACAAACACAAAACGTGGAGAGATGTGGAGGATAAGGGGAGACGCCAAATGTTTGAAACTGTCAAGGAAAAGGACAGGCAAAACACGTGGCGAGCTGTCAAAGATGAGGGCAGTCGCCAGAGGTTCGAAAGTGTCGAGGAGAAGGACAGACACAAAACGTGGAGGATAAGGGGAGACGCCAAATGTTTGAAACTGTTGAGGAGAAGGACAGTCAATGGGAAATGCCAGGTCGGTGGTATATTGTTGACAGAATGATAGTTGAAGGGAAAAAGGGGAGGAAAATCGAGATGACTCGAAGTAAGCCAGCGCATTTCAAGGCGTGGAGATTATGCGGCCAATGTCTGTCAAGAGTAAGGAACCACCTTGAACATTTAAAGGTTCCATAACATCGTAAAAAGATCAGTTTGTTAAGTGAGTGATGGGTGTCAACATGTCTATTTTGAAACTGTGGGGAGACCCAGGAACTCGCAGAGCGATCGTCATATCTCATCATGCATGACACCATTTCCATTATGTGAGATTAATTGAACCAACTTTGGTGGCGCATTGTATATACGTTCTCTTGGCTTTACCGTAGAAACAGTTTCCCAGAGTGAACACCCAGAAAGGTTGAAATCGCGATCTTCAGATCGGTTTATCTTCCGCTTCCACCGGCCTCAGATTAACTCCGGGAGATAAAAAGAGGTTGGAGACCTCGGCCCATTGTTCTTTGCTAACAGAAAATTAATGGAAATTGCTCGAATAAGCAAATAAAAGTTTCTCCCTTCGTGTTACTTAATGGATTTCCCATGGCATCCTTGGCGAACTTACATTTATTTAAAATTCCAACTACACAAGAAGAATACTATGGGGAGAATTTTTATGGTTTCTGTCAAACGATAAACCAAATTTTATTAATGATATATATTGCAAAAAAAATTGTACCTCGTTCATTCAACAGTTTTTCCTTGTATCTCTTTGCTTAAGTTAGGACGTTTCGTTTCGAGCTTTTTTCCTGTATCGTGTCCCATGTATAATATAAATGTAATTACTGTTTCGGATGATGATTCTTCTGTGGGCAGTTTATCTTCTAATAAGATCGCGTTCTGTAGATTTAATGACTTGTAATAATATGAAGGTTTTACTTCTATGAACTGCGTCTTATAGCCATTTTTTCCGTCTCTCACTTTCTCTCTCTCTCTCTCTCTCTCTCTCTCACTCTCCATCTCTCTCTCTCACTCACTTACCCACTTACTCCCTCTCTTTTTCTCTTTCTTTCTTTCACTCACTCTCTTCTCTATCTCTCGCTCTTTCTCTCTCTGTCTTTCTTTCACTCATCTCTCCTCTCTTTCTCTCTTTCTCTCTCTCTCTCTCTCTCTCTCTCTCTCTCACCCTCACTCACTCACTCACTTACCCACTTACTCCCTCTCTTTTTCTCTTTCTTTCTTTCACTCACTCTCTTCTCTCTCTCTTGCTCTTTCTCTCTCTGTCTTTCTTTCACTCATCTCTCCTCTCTCTCTCTCTCTCTCTCTTCTTTCTGTCGTCTCTCACTGTCTGTCTCTCTCACTCTCTCTCTTTCTTTAACTCATTCTCACCTCTCTCCCTCACTCTCTCTTTCTTTCACTCGCTCACTGTCTGTCTCTCTCCCTCTCTCTCTTTCTTTAACTCATTCTCACCTCTCTCCCTCACTCTCTCTTTCTTTTACTCGCTCACTTACCCAGTTACTCTCTCTCTCTCTCTCTCTCTCTTTCTCCTTCTTTCACTCACTCTCTTCTCTCACTTTCTTTCTTTCACTCATTCTCTCCTCTCTTTCCCTCACTCTCTCTTTCTTTCACTCACTCACTTACCCACTTACTCACTCTCTCTCTCTCTCTTTCTTACTTTCGCTCACTCACTTACTCACTTTCCCTCTCTCTCTCTTTATCTCTTTCTTTCTTTCACTCACTCTCTTCTCTCACTTTCTTTCTTTCATTCACTCTCTCCTATCAGACACAGTTTAGGCACTTCAGTGGTGGGCATTTAGCACAATTTGCTCACACACAGGGCTCAATTGACCAGAAAGAGGTATGCTACATGGAAGTACACCACCCAACAGACCTAAAGTGGAAATTTCTCAATTAAATATTGTAAAGCGATGTCTTGTTAGTGTTGACTGGATGAAACACCTGACCAACCGGTGAAGAAACGCATCTGACAAAACATTAGGTAGGATGGACATTCCAGGATATGATAGGATAGAGAGATGTGTCCGAGGTGATAGAGGTGTAGTTCGTAACCTGCAAGCGATTGGTGCTTAAAACTGTCGATAGGTCCGGATTGTAAATATGATTTGAAAAGACTTGTTTAAGAAGGTAATAATGAATCAATCAACTTGCTTTTATATCGCTATGGATTGCTAGTATGTGACTAAAATTCTCTTAAGCTAGAAATGTTTGAATCCTCCGGCATTCCTTTAACAGAGGATTATGGTTTCTATGTTGGAATTTAGGTGCTAAGAAGAACAGTTGAGTTAAATTCGTGGTTTTTAACTAACGATGAGAGATGAGAATAAACTGAGTTTAGAGTTGATTTTAGTAACCACAGCAGTTTTTGCCCAAATGAGCATTATAGTTGCACTAACCGTGCCATATGGCCAATAAATATATTTTTATTCGTCTTATTTTATGAAATGGTGAAAGAAAAAAGTTACTTGCTTGCTATACTGACTTGTGGCCGATCTCATGAGCGACGACGTACACGCTTTCGAAGTGGCGACCTTCGTTGACGGTACAGCTGCTCGTTGGGTTGCACATGCCTGCGACCGGTGCCAACCCTGGTCAAAATCACCTCAGTGGTCAGACGAGCCGGTTTGACAATTGGGAAATAACACTCACCAACGACTTGTTTGCTGATCTTTCCGTTTTTGCTTAGGACGTAGAGGTCGAGGCCGGTGAGGATGAGAGCGTGGTCCCAATGAAGTGGGTCGGAATCGTTCGGAGGGTTCTCGTCCCTTTGCCAGCTGCAGAAGTTGCTGAGAAACCTGTCGATGTCCTCGGAACGGTGCAGAGCCGGTGGGTCCGAGTGGAGGATTTCGAGCCTTTTCATCACGAAAGAAACGGGCCGCCCGAGGGACGGATCGTGATACAAAAGCTGGACCTGGAATCACAAATTGTTTCCTCAACCCCACTGCAGCCGCAAGATGAAGACCTCTTGCGCTAGGATCAAAGTATCTTAAACAACGTAATATAAATTTTCTTTGAGAGATTTCATCTTGAGGTCTACGGGGTGGACCTATAACTTGGCCGTTTCCGGTCTGGTTCGCCAGTCCTCGCTGTCTTGTTCTGCAAGACGCCTTTCGGCATTTAACCATCTTCAATGGGTAAGAAAGTTTAGTGTTTTGGACATCGTTCGCATTTGACCCCGTATACATCAGTGCAAAGAGTGTCTTGCCTCACCCTGCCTATGCCTACAAACACTGATCAAATACCGAAGATGATGAAAACAGTAAAAACAAGACATGGTTTTAAGAGCAATTGTTATTGAAGTATTGCCTCTTCATATCTGTAGAGTGGTGTACCCGTATATTGGTGGTTTCTGTTCAATTTAGTCAGGGATACAAGCAGGGCGAAACAGGTCTCCTTAATCATTAAGTTCGACAGACTATTGGCCAAAAAATCCTGTAGTTTGGGCCGTTTTCTATCATGTTATCCTGCCTTGGTTTGACGGATGCGTTTAAGCCTTTTACAATCTTGTTCAGGGTTTTAAGCAGGTGAGGCAAGACTCTTTCCGATTCGAAGATTCGAATTGTGTCAAGTGCCACATATAATCAGAAACGACTAAATTATCACTGTTTTGGGTAACTGTGTAATTAAGGTGAGGACGATACTTATTGAGCACTGCTCATAATTCGCATTTAAGGTTGTTCACATAACTGCAAAGAATCGGTGACTTGCCTGGCCTTGCTCATAACCCTGAACAACCGCGGAAACAAGTCATGGCTTTAACAGCAAGTGCAACTGAGATATTTCCTCTTCAGGTTTGTAGGCTGGTGTGCTTGTAACATGGACGATTCTGGCCAATTTAGTAAAGGCTATAAGCAGGGAAAGGCAAGTTTCCTTAATTATTAAGTTCGACCGTTTATTGTCAAAAATCCTGTAGTTTAGTCATTTTAGTCTGTCTGTTTGTTCTGCAGATGCGTGTCAGCCTTGGGCAGACTTAACTGGTTGTTCAGGGTTATAAGCAGAGAGAGGCAAGAACCTATTTATGTAAAATGTGTCAAAGGCCCACTACTGAAGATGGCGATAAGGAGAAACGCTCTAACAAACTCCTCGTGGCATTTCGCCATCTTCATTGGTGGTTCAGGATATAAACCAGGAGGGAAGACGCCTTCCATTTAATCAAACGCCCCCAGCGAGGAGAGATAAACTATATAATCAAAAACGACGCAACTATTAGTGTTTTGGCTAAAAATATAAGAAGGTTTGCAAAGAGACGGTGTTTTGCCTCACCCTGCTTATATCCCTGATCAACCACTGAAGATAGTACAAACAACTTACACAGGAAATGGTTTTACAGCATTTGATTGAGAAATTGCCTCTTCAGGTATGTGGGCTGGTGTAGCCTGGTCCTTTCGAGTCAATTTAGTGAGGTTTATAAGCAGGGTGAGGCAAGGCTCCTTTCATTTGTGTGAATCAAATGCCCACTAGATGTCAGACCGCTTGTGGCGTTTCGCCATTTTCACTGGTGGTTCAAAATATAAACAGGGGTGAGGCAAGACTACATCCAATTGAAACGTTCACTACTGGAGATGGCGGAAGGAGGAAATAGATCTGCCAAATCAGAGCAGCGAGGAGAGATAGACCACATTATGAAGAAGAAACGTCTTATCTCACTACCCGATCAACCAGTGAAGTTGGCAAAAACAACTAAAACAGACCATAATTTTACAATATTTAGTTGAGAAATTGCCTCTTCAGGTATGTAGAATGTTGTACCTGTGTAGGTTGTTCTAGTCATGGGTTTTAACAAGGTGAGCCAAGACGCTTCAGAACAAAACAGCGCCAGGCCAAAACGAGTAAGCTAACAATTTTTTTTGTTGCTAAAAACTGGATCTACATTGTACAAGAGACCAACAGCGTGTATACACGGACCATAGGTGACCAAAACGCTCTAAGCTCTACATTACACACTTATGCTCAGTCAAATTGTTATTGAAATGCGAGCTTCAATTTTTGAGATATACTTTTTATACATTCGCTCCATAACTTTGCTCAGTTCACTGCGCTCAAATTAGGAACAGTCTCAACCGTTACTTTTCACACATGCCTAGCGCGACATCTGATAATGAGATGCCCTTTTGTCTTTAACCAGGCAGCTGGAAAAACATAAATACACGCTATGAAACATTACGTTTACAGGATGCTACCATTTTTTCCTTTCCTTCCGCATCAGATTGCACTGAATTTTTTTTTTTTAATTTTGCAATAAATAATATTAATAGATAAATATAAGGCAAGTAGTGATTCCTGTCTTATAAATGTATAAATTAGCATGGCAAAAATGTATTTAGAGCTACATTCATTGTTCTCATATTCTCGGATCAAAAATATAATAACGTAATTGTTGGCTTACAGCGTTGACCATAGTGAGGACGAAAGTGACTAACTGTTGGTCCGTATTCTTTGGAAAATTGGTCGTCATGTGTCGATAGAGATCGCGATCAACGAAAACCGCCGTTTCGACGTGAACCGGTGGCAGGAGGTGACGTCCGCTCTGCCCCCTAGAAAGTTCGTCGTTCGTTTTAATGTTCAACCCTCTGCCGGTGGACCTCTTGACGACCAGATGGGGAATCCAGTTGCCACGACGCCTGTACACCGTCTCCGGGATCGGGTTGATGGCGTAAAAATGACCTCCGCCGGATGAGACGATGCCACTCTGGAAAAAAAACGACGTAATTCTAGAAACATCCTAAATTATATGGCTAAATCGTTATTTCACGGGTTTAAACACAAAAAAACGTAGAAATGACCGAAACAAATCACAACGAGGATAGGCGGACCGAGTCAGGTCTAGTATTCAAAATAGGAGAATTTAAACAGACCAATTAGCCTTAACACAATAGTTATTATTTGGTAAGCCACTATGAAGATATCGCCTAAACAGTCAAATCAAAACAAAGCTCGCGCTTCGCATTCGAATTCTCGGCTGCCATAATCGTAACACTAATTCTACACAACCTAACCTAATCTATAATAATACCTAGAGAGCGAACACGGAATCCCCAGACAAGAATGAGAGATAACAATTTAACAGAAGAATTGGATAACTATGATGACTTCAAAGACCGTCAACACTAAACTAACCTTATAGAAAATTTTTCTGCGACAACTTTGGCATACAGAGTGGAACTGTTGGATTCTGCCAAGCCATCCAACATCCGGCGGATCCAAACCTTCAGATCAAAGACCTCACACAAATCATCAAAGCTCCTCCTACGTCACTAGCCTCACTATCCATGACTTCAAATCCCTGATCCCTTCCGGATTCCCAAAGTTTCACACCAACTTCTCGATCCATCCTAACCCTACTGCTCGAGCATTCTCTACACATTCCCATCCCGAGAACCCGCCTCTAGACCTCCTTGCCCCTTAATCCCTCACACTAAGTACTAGCATTCGCCGGTTTCTCATGGCAAGTCCTCCGTTCGTGTGAAAAAAACCACTGTGAACACATTTATAATATGTACAAATATCTATAGGCTACGAAAAACTTAATTAAAAAATCTTTCCGAAAGATTGGGCATTAAAATGATAAAAACCTATCTAACCATAACCTAACCTGTCTAAAAGTCCTAACCTTACCTATCTTAACCTAACCTAACGCTAAGTGTAGCATTACTGCGCTGAGGAAAATTTAACAAAACTTAACCCGACCTAACATAACCCGTACTTAATTGTTACGCTAACCCCAAACCTAAAACTGGAAATATGCGCCCTTAGTGGAGCATTACGTGCTAAAAAAAATTTAACAAACCCTAACCCTACCTAACCTAATCTATCCTAACTTAACCTTAATCTTAAAGTGAAAAAATATACCCTTAATGCATGGTTAATTTACTGAGGAAAAACCTAACCTAGCCTTAACTCTAAATCTGGAAATATCCGCCCTTAGTGCACGGTTACTGTATTGAGAAAATGTATACACAAATTAACGCTATTTTACCTAACCCTTTGTTAACTCTTACCCTAACCCTAAATTTAAACTGGAAATATGCGCCCTTAGTGCAGAATTGCTGAATTGATGAAAATTTAACAAAACCCCCCTGGCTCAATGGAAACATAATCTTGGATGCAAAAAAACTCATGGAATGAGATTGTAGCAGCAACAGTAATGTTCTAATATTTATGAGAAGAAGGATTGAGTCGATTGCACTGAACTAACGACTAGGAAAGTACGATAAGCCAGAAGGTTCCTGTGCCTGGGAGCACAATCCTCGCTTCCTGGTATCCATCGTAACCATATTGAATACAAGCAAGATTAGTAAACTATTTCATCTAAACAACCCTCAGGGCGAGGAACGATGCGAAGATAATCGCTTTAACCTCGGCGGCAGTTATTGACAAAATTAGTGGAATCAATCGTTCAAAAGAAACTACGCGTTGAAAATTGGTGTGAATAGAGACGATTTTCGTCCTGATTTTTTTTTTCTCTCAGTTTAAGCAACGAGATTAGACCTTTTTATACGAAGAGTGTAGGGCACGGTAGAACTAGGCTACTTGGACATTGTCATCGGGAAAGTCGATCTTTTACTTTTCAAAGCTTCCGAATACACCGACTTATGGGTCATCGGCTTTCTTCGATCCGAACCTTCCGCAATTAATACGGGTTTTGAACCTAGAATTTAGAATAAACGACCAGTAAAACAAATTCCGCAAGATTCCCTACACGCTTTACTTCTACTTTTCTATAACTAAACTTTAGGAAAAACGACTTTGTCAAAAATATACTGCCGCAGTAGACTGCAGTGAGGTGGTTTGGACTATTCATAACACTGCAAAGTCGCTCCCTTTCAGGAAACTTCCAGTGGACAGTAAGCCAAGTTATATCGCCTCAAGTTAGGAGAACTGAAATGGGCATTTGGGTTCGTTAGACGCGGCAAGCAAAAATCCAATCCAAATGATAAAAGATAAACCAAAACGAAACCTGGAAATATACGCCCTTACTGTGCTGAAGAAAATTTAAAAAACTTAAACCTGGGCATATAAGCCCGTAGAGTTAAGATATTACTGAAGGGAAAAACCTTAACCTGAACCTAACCTAACTAGCCTAGCCCTATCGCTAAACTTGGAAATGTAAGCTAGGGTTATCGTGCAAACGCCAATTAAACAACCGTAAACACTACAGGTCAAACCTTACACTCCTTAACTCAACATAACCTAACCATTCCAACCTAACCTAACTCTCTCTCCAACTCTACATAACTCAACTATTCGTAACCTTACTATTTTTATCCTTACCTAACCCGCCCCTAACTTTAACCATACCAAACCTAACACTAAACCAGAGCAAATACGCCCTTAGTGCAGGGTTACTTTATTGAAGAAAATGTAAGAAAAACCCCAACCCTACCTAACTTAATATTTATTTCCCTGTCAGGGACACTAACCCTAAATAACCTTACCATTCATAACCTAACTTAACCCTCTCCCTAACTATACATAACCTAACCATTTTTAACCTAAGGAAGAAAACCCGCGGAGAAAAAATAAGTTCCCCCTGTCTATTCCAGCTCAAAAATGTTTATTCGATCCGTTGCTGCGTGATATTGCATATATTTACAACAAATGTAAAAAAACATATTCAAAAATAGCCCTACTAACCTATCCTAACCCTACATGGTCTAACTATTCATAACCTTCTTTGACCATCTCTAAACCCCCCCCCCCCAACTAACTTAACCCTAAAGTCGAACATATAGGCCTTTGGTGCAGAGTCGCTTTAGTGAAGAAATTGTAAGAAAAACCCCAACGCTACGTAACTTAATAATTCCTTGTCCCTAACCCTGACTCTACATAACCTAACTATTTCTAACCTAACTCTCTCTCTCTCTCTCTCTAACTCTACATAACCTAACCTAACCCTTTCCCTAAATCTACGTAACATAACTATTTCTAAACCAATTTAAACCTTACTCTAACTCTTCATAACCTAATCTCTTTTAGCCTAAATCACTCTACCTAACCTAACCCATTCTTAACCTTTACACTACCTCAAAACCTAAATCTGGAAATAACCGCCCTCAGTATAGGGTTGCTTAACACTAACCTAACCCTAAACCGAATATTAACCCTCCCCCTCCCCCTACTAAACCGAACCATTCCTAACCCATGCCCACGAAATCGATGAACCGAAAATGGTCCCGCAAAAATTGTGTATCAGCCAAAAAACATACCGTTGTTTAAAACAATCCGTAATAAAATTGTAATCGAACTTCCATTTCCTCCAACCCGTAGTCCGGGAACTCGAGCTTTCAGATCGCCGCTTCCGAGCAATGGATGGTCGCTTAAGGGAAACACGCTTCGTATACTGAATAATGGAAAAATTTAGGGGAATTCATTGTTTCAATCAAAATTCTAGAATCGGTACGAGAATGGAGCAGATAGACGGTCCATCGAGCACGAAGGCCAATGAATTTGTTGAATTTATTCTAATTTGAGTCTTTATGACTATGACTATCCAACCCACAGCCCATTTATAAAAATGTATGTTTTAAGAGAAATTTCCAAGTTTCTGAGGGTGAGAGAATTGCATAACGTTAACTACAAAACTGTAGCACTATCTTATATCAGCTGGCGAAACTGGATAAAATTTTCCATCTTAATTGGTTCCAGTCTGAACTGAAATTGAGCTAATTGTTTTCTTCTCCTTGGCTCTTTTCCCGTTAGCATTTTGTAAAGGTCATACCTAAGTACAAGCCTAATCATCATGCCAGCAAACCTTGGTGTCCTTATCCGCCACTCATCGTTAGCTCAGTTGTATTATTCACAATTCATAGTTAATGAACTACCTATTAACTTACGGAAGTCTAATTGTAATCCGGCTTATGTAATACGTCGCAAAGTTTTCTTTTTGTGAACATCTTTTGAAATAAGTTGTAGAATATAAAAAACAACGCGTTGGTGATATTTTGAACCCGTATGAACCGTAGCAGCGGAAAACGGCGTAGCAATAGTGCTAATAGTGGGAAAACTTGCGAGGGGTGCTGAACAGTCAGCGTAAAACCACGAATATAATTTCTTTTAAAATTTTTCTTGCTTTATTCGTTTGTTTGTTTTTTCTATCGTTTGACTGTTTAGCCGTCGGCCGTAGTCACAACCTTTTCCTTGTTTGTTTGTATTTTTGTTCGTTCCTTCGACTCTCTGTCTGTCCTGTTGTTCTTTTGATCCTCTGAATACAAACTGTTGAGGGGAAAAAACTTTTTTTTGCTGATAACTTTGAAAGGACTCCACTGACCCGCAGGAAACTTTAGAAGGGTTTAAAACCGTATAAACTACGCGTTCCTCTGTAAACGCATTAGAACAGAAGATTAAAAAATAACACAATTGAGGAGTAATTAATTAATGTTTATCTTTCTTAATGAGATAAATATTATTATTGAAATGCCCTGGAAAAAGAGAAATTCAGGTTTTCGACGGTCGTAAGAACGTTGAATTTGGACAAAATCCAAGGGACTTATAAATTTTTTGATTGGAACAGGATATCAGCGGAGAAAAAATAAATTGTTCTTCCTGGCTAATCCAGCCCAAAAATGTTGATGCAATTTTGCAAACTTGTTCTTAACCTGCGTAAAAAACCTCTTATCCTAACCTGAAATACATCTAAATCAAAGGAAGAAAAAAAGATAACCCTACTAACCTATCCTAACCCGTCCCTAACCCTATATAACATAAATATTCCTAACCTTCCATGAACCCCATCCTTAACCCTATCCTCCTCTAACCTTAACTCTACCTAACTTAACCCTAAACCAGAAAACATACACCCTACCTACCTTGATATGTCCCGTCCTTTAACCCAACTGTACACATCCTAACCATTCCTAACCCTCTCTCTAACTCTACATAAAATAACAATTCCTGGCCTAATCTCAGCCAACCCATGCGCACTCATCGGTAACGCGAAATCGAAATTATTTAAAATAGTTGTTTTTCTACGGCTTCTAAGGCCTATTGGTATTAACGCTCGGATAAGCGTCTAATCAAGTATCACCAAGAAAAGTTTCATTAGACTCGTTGATCCCACGCCTGTAGTTGGTGCAACTTGTGAGTTGAAATTGGAAGACTACAGCATCTAAAGTAGGATTTTTTCTAAAATTTAATTGTTTCATTTGATCTTACCATTCCGTCGCATATATTAAGAGCGGCTTTATATTGTTCGGTGCTCTTGTAGAAGCAAGAGGGCCTGACCAGTCCTAGGGGCAAGAGTTCGCTGTGGTTCTGGTTTCTCGAAATCAGGACAAAGTGCGGATCCAAAATCGGCGTATTCGGTTCCAGTTTCAGTTTCATCTCTTCTCCGTGAGTCTGGATGAACAGCTCGTCGGAACCTTTCGCCCCTTCGTGCCACACTATTTCGACCCCGTCCGACGGCAGCTCTGTAAGCCAGAGTTTCCACAATTTCCCTTCTATACAGCGAAGTCAATAAATCTAACACAATACTCACTGTTTCTTCCGAAGAAATTTATCCAGTCTGAACTGCCTGTGGCCTTTTTGGGATTCTTCTGAAACAGAAAACGACCCCGGTTGAGCGTGAAGACTTTGAGATGTCATTTTACAATCAGGAGGATTTTTAACGGTAGTCCCAGTATCGTTGCGAAACGGACCGTTAAAGCAATCTTCCTTTTAAGTAGACGCTGTCGGAAGTTGACCACATACATGGACCTCTGAAAAACGCCGATTTGTTTGCTCGGCTACGGTTAATGACTCGTTTCCGATCCATCTTAATGTAGCCGCCGGCTGAAGACAAACACAAAACCGAACTTTTTTCTCTTTTTCTTGATTTTGATTTATTCTTCCACAATTATTACTGTTAGAACAAATGTGGAATCATAAAATCAATGGTTTATTAATTGGCTGAAAAGTGCCAAGAGTTAAGGGTGATACCGTCGGAATCTGTCTTTTTCAAATTCAACCAAAATCGAGTGGACCAGAGAATTTTTTTTCCCACATTTGTTAGAACTTAATATGTAAAGAGATTTTTTAAATTAAATATTATAGAGTGTCTTTTATTTTCTCTCATAATGCCTTTGTGCAGAGATTCAATTTTTATTGTGGGAAAGACTAGCACAGATGTTTTTGGTTATGTCCTTTGAATTTCCCAGGGTAGCCCAAAATTTAAAAAAATCCCTCCTCCCTCCAATATCTAGATCATGCAGGACATCGGAGTACGTTGATTTGTTACGGGCTACGAGAATATCATATTTATCAAGGTACAAAATACGGTCAACATTCTGAGAACAATAGAAGCCGGAAGCTTCCTCCCACCATCGTCCTTATTACATTATCTTTATTTCCATATTTTCATTTATGCAGTGTATCCGCACCAGAAAGCTCCCCGACGGGGTCTTTCATCAGTGCCGTCGTGCAAAGAGAGGCGTTTTACGTCCTGTTTACATTTCAATTGTCGGTTTTGACTGAATTTATTTATTTGCGATTTCCTAATTAGCACGCAGGACGTTTAATAAGTTGCATAATTCTATGGTCACGCACTGATTGAATCATGAATGAAAATATATGGAATATATGAAAATAACAGCTGCAATCGTAGACCAAATTGATCACCGATGATGAAATACTAAAATCATCAATATTGATAAAAAATGGCAACGCACACCAGTTCCGATCATATGTATGTCCATTTGACACAATACAGAAAAAGGAATCTTGCCTCACCCTGCTTATATCCCTGTCCATATCGCCAACTGTAGGGAAATGTCAAAAGGAACCGCTAGATCGACCTAGTCCGCTGTTTGGTCTGTCAGACATGTTTTGGTATCTCACCATGATAACTTCATCAGTTGGTCTGGGTCTGACCAACCGACGAAGCGATCTCCCTGAAGACCTCTCTGCAGTGTTTCAACTAAAAAAGGGATCTAACATTTCTTACATTTCATCTGCAAATAACGGAAATCAACTTTGACTTTTCAACAAATTACAGACCAAAAAAATAGCATTCGTTTGAAAGTTACTAAGCTTCGAAGTGTTACATGTTATTTATACTTAGCAATTGGGTCGATTCACATAAATGAAAAGAATCTTGACTCACCCTGCTTATAATCCAGTACCACCAGTTTAGACTGCAATAGGTATCAAGACCAGAATGATCGGGAAAACCCAATGACTGCGGGACGACAAACTTATTTTTTTCCGATCTACTGGTCTACCTTGTCTAACGGTTTTAACTTTTTCCAATAGATGGAGGTATGGTCAAGGGTATAAGCAGGGTGAGGCAAGATTACTTCCATTTGTATTGTGCCAAATGCTCGATAAAGTTGGCGACTTACAGAAACATAAGTAACAGTCGTCACCGCGAGTCTAGGTAGTTCAAAATGATCGGAATCTACCAGACCATTTGCTGTTTTTTCAAAAATTTCTGTTTGACGGCAGCCGGGGGATAAACTTGTAGGTTCTGGTCATCCTGGTCCAACTAGCCTCGCTGTTTTGGCATTTCAGACCCCTTTTTGCCAATGTCAAATACCCACTAATGAAAACAGCGAAAAAGGGAAACAAGTCTGATAGGCCAAAACCAGCAAGGACAGGCGGACAAAATGGCCAAAAAAATAAAAATTAAAAAATAAAAATTTTCCTGATAAAAAAAAAATATCCTGACCAAACTAGAAAAGATTTCTGTCCCAGAAAGACAAAATGAATCCTCACCTTCCTTATAATCCTGATCATCTCGCTAACTGAAGGCAAGTAATAAAAAGGAGTCTGGCAGACAGCTAGACAAGGCAGACGAGGATGATCCGAAACCACAATTTCACCGTCCCACAAGCTTCAACGAGAAATTTCACAAAACAACAAATAGTTTGATCGGTTCCGATCATATTCTGGTATGTCCGTCATGTTTAGGCCAGTCAGAAGTAAGCTCACCCTGCTTATATCTCTGAATAAATCACCAATTATAGACATGTCAAAAGGGGCTTGACAGACAGCGAGACATGAGGACCAGGATGATCTTATAAATAGTTCGGTCGTTGAAAACTACAGGTTCATCGCCCTGCAGCCTTCAAAGAGAAATTACACAGAACAACAAATAGATTGGTTGTTTCAAATCAAATTCTGGTATATCTAGTCTCGATGTTTGGTCTGTTATACGCGTTTCACCTTTTTGCCATCTTCAGCAGTGGGCATTTGACACTATGCACACAAATGGAAGGAATCTAACCTCGCCCTGCTTATGTCCAAGCCAACCGATAAAGCTACCATGGTGTGATGCCGAAACACGTCTGGAAGGCCAAACAGCGTGAATAGGCCGAACTAACGGCTTCTTTTGATATTTCCCTACATTTGGCGATATGATCAGTATGTAAGCCGAGTAAGGCAAGATTCCTTTCTGAGTATTGTGCCCAATGCCCACTGTTGACCGTTCATGATGGACATACATATGATGGGAAATGGCGTTGCCATGAGATGTTTCGCCTAAAAAAGTAAACCATCCCTATCTAACCCTAGCCTAACTTAACATAACCCTACCTAACCTAACCATTCCTAACCTATCCCAAACCAACCTAACTAACCTTCCCTGACTCCACCTAACTTAACCTAATCCAACCCACGCACACTCCCTGGTAACGAGAAAATTTCGTGTGTGCAGTCCCAAAAACATAACAATTTACTTTTGAAAATTTCAAAATTTTCAAAAGTAAATTGTTATTTTAAACGGTAGGCCAATTGTAAAGTAAACAATAAAACAAACCATTGTCGCACTACGGACATACAATTTATCGGTCAAAGTAAAACACTTTTGCCAAATACATCTACCCATTCGAAATATCAGTTTAATCTTAGAAGTAAAACTATTCTATTCGATCTGCCTTTGCCTAGCCTGCTTAAAAAGTAAAAAAGTAAAACCTTGCTGTTATATTTATAGGATAAAGTTGTTTTATAATAAAAATAATTTGTAATTTAAGGTAGATGTGAGTGAATAGCCCCCTAATAAGGCTTTAATCTTAGAAGTAAAACTATTCTATTCGATCTGCCTTTGCCTAGCCTGCTTAAAAAGTAAAAAAGTAAAACCTTGCTGTTATATTTATAGGATAAAGTTGTTTTATAATAAAAATAATTTGTAATTTAAGGTAGATGTGAGTGAATAGCCCCCTAATAAGGCTTGTATAAGGTCAATATTTCCCCTGTTCACCCCCACAGTCTAATGTTCCATCGATCAATGATTATCTTACATAATCGTTCAATATTGTTGCAGTTTTCTCTCGGCTTGAAAGATCAAGATTGGCTGCATTCTAAGCGATGTTAGTCCTTTAGGGGATGATTTAGAAAAGGCAGTTAATGGTTATTGCCACCGGTTTCATCGTCACGATTTCTATCTGAATGTGTCGGTTGTTCACAAATATTCGGGATGTGATTCGCCTGTGCTAAGCAGTCTTAGTGATCGACAGACACAAGCCATAGAAAATTGGTTAAACTAGCTTTTACTATTTTGTTTTAAGTTCCTCGCGTCCAACAACCTGTATTAAATATACGGATGAACATTTCTGTATGCAGACTTCATCTTATAGTGGATGAACCTAAATCTCTCACTGATCTTTTCAATTCGTCCAAATATTTCAATAGTAATTAAATTTTACATTTTAAAACAAAACACGAACCAGACAGGGTCGACAATACTCTTACGGCAGAGAAACCTTGAAGGAAAAACAGGAGAGATTCCTTCCGCGTGGATCTTCCCAACCTGTCGGATCCTTAATTTACACTCGTTTAAGGACTGAAGGATCTTGATCAACAGTTTCGATAATCTAGCAAAAATGATAAGGCTAGAAACAGCGCCTTGAAACTTCGGCATATCCTTCGCAGGGCCTTATCGTTTCGGTATCACTCTTGGTCTTACTAAATGGAAATTATTTCAAGGGCGTTCATTTGTATGTTATTTTAATTGTCAATGCACCGTACGATCTTAGAAATTTATAGCATTAATGAAAACACGCCACTTAAATCAATCTATACGATTAAAATCATAACGAAACCTACAAATAAATAGACTATTTCAATAATTTTATCCGTATATTTAATTGAATATTACTTGAAAACCATGCTACTATGATTCTAATGTTTAAAACAAATTGATAAATAATAAAGTGAGGAGGAAACGCGTCAGAGTTTTGTTAGATTCCTTGTTGAGATTTATGGGGTGATGAACCTGAAGTTAGGTCATTTCCCATCATCCAGGTCTTTCTATTTCTGCCGTTGTGATCTGTCTGGGATCTTTAGGAATTCTGTCAGATCTAGGGGTGGGTCTGAACGAGACTGTAAAAGGCTGAAACACATCTGGCGACCAAGAATATGATCGGAAACGTCCAAACTACAGGACTTTTGTTAATAAACAGTCGAAATTAATGATCAAGGAGACTTGCCTCGCCCTGCTTATACCACTGATCAAAACACTTCTGAGGTTTTATCTGATAGACAAGTTTCACCTTTTTGACATCTTCACATGCCATCAAAGAACTCCGCCAGCAAAGACTTGAAGTATGCTCTCAATTTCTTAATTACACTTGCTGTAAAAGCCGTGTCCTGTTTTCGCAATATTAAAGGGTTGATCAGGTTATATGCAGGGTGAGCATATTTTCATTTATGTGAAATAATGCTCAATAGTGATGTTGGCTTAAAAAGGAAATGCGTCTGAGATTTAAGCAGACTGTTCTGCTCATCATTTGCATTTGAGGCAGTTCATATAAGTGCAAAGAGTCAGCGTCTTGCTTCGCGTTACCTATAATTGTGATCAACCACTGAACATGGTGAAACAACAAAAATCAGATATGATTTTGAGCAGGTGGTGTAATTGAGAGTTTTTCTTCAGGTTTATACGGTAGTTTGCCTGTAGCTTGGTTGTTTCTTGTAAATTTAGTCAGAGATATAAGCAGGGTAAGGCAAGTCACCTTTGACCTATGCGAACCGTGTGGAAGTACAACCACTTGAAAAACCAAAACACAATTTTACTGACCAAAATGGCCTCAACTGCGTCTCCACCGCAAAGATTTCAAGAGTAAATATTATTACAATTAATTAAGGTTTTTAATTGAGATGAAATTGGTCAAGCGGACCACGAAATTAGTGAATTTAGTAAATATTATTAATTTCACTAGTTTCGTGGTCCGCTTGACCAATTAATATCTTACAATTAATTAAGGTTTTCAGTTGAGATAAAAAAAGGTGGGAAGATTCAAAAGGTGTGGTTGAGATGGGAGGTTGGTGTCCGAGTGGATCGAGGTCACGATAGCTCAAGTGGTAGAGCAACGGCGTATCAAGGCGAAGATCGTGAGTTCGAATCCCGCTCGTGCCATTGACTTTTTTATCTCAACTGAAAACCTTAATTAATTGTAAGTAAATATTATAATTTTCATATAAACTTGTGCATGTACGATCGGCAAACGCGTTTGGCCCAATTGGACCAAAAGGCGCGTACCGTTTCGCTTTGTAATCACGGTGGAGCTTGAGAACATAGTAAGCGAACTAATTGTGTAAATCAGTGAAACGCCCCACAACGGTGTTAACTGAGGTATACCCTCGTTGTTACAAAACTGCCAGATAATCTTCAACGAAATCGCCTCATTTCCCGATATTCACGCGTTGCTTCGGCTTTACGCGAGAGTTGATCAGGGTTTTAAGCAGGGTGAGAGGCGAGACTCCTTCCATTCATACGAATCGGTTTTTCTGATGTGAAGATGGCGAAAAGACTAAACGCCTCTCACTTCAAGTCAAAATACTCTTCAAAATATGCTATCTACTTGAGTCGAATGCATTTGTTTCAAATTGTTTTGTTTTTGTTTTTTTCAGAGAAAATTACTACTGACAGTGAGACCATGCACTGCAGTCCATTTTGTACGATCTCAAAATATTTCCTTGTTTCAGAGCACAATTAGCACTAAAGCACAAACCATAATAAAAAAAGGTCTGGTCTAAAATTTGCATTTTCCTACTTTTCAGCGGTCACTTTAAAGTGCAAAATTCATCCAAGACTATTGACCCCATTGGAATATTATTTATTTACAATTATTAAACTTACAGACAAAATGAGATATCTATACGGTTGAAAAATTAGGCCGGTTAGGCTACTGAGAAGCACAAAAAGTGCATACAAATTGCCATCACAAATGCATTCGATATTTTTATAAGTAAAATTAAAATCAAAATGAAGACTTTTTTTTTAATCAGCTAGATTATAAAAAGAGTAAAGAATAAAATTAAAAATTGACGAGAGTGTACTTACTTGGGAAGTAGTCGTTTCGGCAAGAAATAAGAACACGTGTATAACTAATATCATGTTGCTTGACGAGTAGCATGGCTCAAAGTGCGGTCCAGCTCCAGGAGACTCCTGGATCCCCGCTCCGACCGAAATCCTTCCCACCTCCTCCACACTTTCTAATTTTTCATTTCCTTCTTACACATTCTGCATCATATAGATTATGGAAGCTGCAATAGATTTATATGTATCGTTTTTGTTTGTTTTTTTAAATCACATGTAGCAATTCCGCTTAATGAGGGACACGGTGTTCAAGAAGCAGCAGAAGCAATGACAGCGCGTGTTTGTAGGGTCGATATTCAACTTGTTGTTTGGTCGCTTAGCATACTGATTTATTTTGTTATTGGGTTCGTTTTAGCCTTCTACCATGGCTTGTTTATTATTGATTCTTTAGTCAAGAGTAAATCAACGATTAAGTCTGTAATACATGAGGACAGATCCTACTTGGGGTGTCACGCGCGAGGTTCCAGAAACATTTGACAATAAATTTTTCCATTAAGCCACCGCGGTAACCCCACATATTAACTAAAGATATGTTTTTGGGCTAGTCGCACAATTTTTTTTCGTTTTTTCGTTGATATATCGATACCAAGGAGTGCTGGGTTTAGGACTGGTTAGATAGTGTAGTGATAGTCTGAACGGGATTAGATTAGGTTTGATTAGGCTTGGTCAGGACTGGTTAAATAATGAAGTGTTAGGAACGGGGTTGGGTTAGGTTTGGTTAGGACTGGTTAGAACGGCAGCGTTAGAGAGTGGGTTAGATTAGGTTAGGTTATGTTAGGCTAGGATTGGTTAGATTATGTAGTGCTAAGAACGGGGGTTAGGCTAGTTAAGTCTGTTTAGATTATGTAGGGTCGAGTACTAGTTAGGTTAGTATCCTGCATCAGTGGGAAACTCCTACACTACATTTTTTGTGCTGGACACACAATTTATTTCGAGATCAAGATTCATACCAAGGAGTGAAAATGGATTTGATCAGGTTAGATTAGAAAGGGTTAAAGACATATTAAGCTAGATTATGACTTGTTGGACTAGGGGGATATGTAGGGTTAGGTTAGGTTTGGTTAGGACTGATTAGGTAATGTAGTTTTAGTGACTGGGAGTTTTGTGGCCCTTAAAAGGGCCGGTGTTGTTTAATAGCGTCGAGACGATGGATTATAGCCAAGTCGGCTGTGTTTAGAAGGCGAGAATCAGGCTAATGCTGCGAGTACCCTTGCTGTCTTCGACGGTTTTCCATTAGTGATTTGTGAGAGCTCGTCGGGTTGGCGAGTCTGCTGTCGTTATCCATTAGTGATGAGTGAGACCTCGTCATGTCGACTTTTGGGCTGGGTACACAATTGTTTGTGATTTCCTGTTATCAGGGAGTGTGCATGGTCTAGTCTGGATTAGCTTAGAAAAGATTGGGTTAGGATAGCAATGGTTTAGTTTAGAGTAGAAATGGTTCGTGTTAGGGACAGATTACGGTTGGGTTTGGTTAGGTAGTGTTACTTTCTTGAGGCTCTCTACTTACAAAAATCCAAAATTAAACTATATTATTGGTATAAATATAGTATATTATACACTAGCTTCCCATGAAAACACAGAATGATCAGCATATGATGTGACAATTTAAATGAATTACAGGAGTCTTGCTTCTCTGACTAAAATAATCAGAAAAGGAAACCCATAAAACCATATTTTTGTCGTTTACTTTTACCTTGTACTTCATCTTTTTCAATAAGTTGGATCAAAAATTTTAAGATATTGGGTTGGTTGGGTCTGTGTATATATGTATACATTGATCATTTCCAACCATCCTGGCCTATGTACACTTGTTTGTTTGGTCTGATAAACTTAAATGAAAGAGAGAAACTAGTCAATTGGAGTCATTTTTAATTCACAATTTGTAATACAATTGCAATAAGTAAATATGCTACTTACAATATGTACAATGTAACTTTCTTATATGAGATAGTTATCACCCCCTATATCTGAGCATTTAGTTGAACCATAAAGTTTATTACAATATTGTGCATGAGTTGTTTGCTATTCAATGACAGATTAGAGTCTGATGAGTAGTAGGTACCATCATTTTAGTTCCAGTCATTTTAGTCTAATCTTGGGCTTCCATGTCAGTAAAGTAAATAATCCATAACAACGTACTATATCGTAGTAAGGAAGAAGGGCCTTCAGTAGATAGGAGGTAGTGCTTACATGAAAGTGTAAAATATTAAATATTTAGCTTTCACTTTTTCCGAAATGAAATGAGGGTGTGCAGAGGATCAGAACAGGTGAAAGGATAGCTATATAACTGATGGAGAATATGTAAGGATGTCATAGGTACTTTGAGGGACACCAACATCTATTGGAAATTTAAGATAATCAATATTTGGAAAATCTCCTTCAACTTAAATAGCAGTGTCCTATCATGACATAAAATTTGCAGACTATTGACTTGAATTTTTTTTTTTAATGTTCAATAGTTAGAAATTTGATGTCAACATGTAAGAAATTATGAATGCCTCTTTTAATTGTTTAAACAACAATAAATTGTTCAATGGGCTCTCAATGACCTACCAATACAATAACATTAAATTTACATAATCACGATCACTGATGAGGTTGACTGAGACCAGGTTAAGGTTATGGTTAGGAATTAGTTAGTGTAAAATAATGTTAAATTCTACAATTTTTTTTTTCAAAACATTTAAATCATAATTTACTATTACACGACCCTTCATAGTTTTGTAACTGTATCACACATTTAAAATGGATATGTTTTTGGGCTGGAGACCCACATTTTTTCTGTGAGAAATTTTGCCTTATCATTTCACATTACTGGAGAAGTACACATGGGTTGGGTTAAGTTAGCTTATAGGGATAGGGATTAATTAGTGTAAAATAATGTTAAATATTACAATTAAATTTTTTACTTGCTGTAATTGATGGTAATATTAAGTATTAAAATATTGTAAACAATTACTACAATTATTTATGAGCATAAGGAATTAAAGGATTTAACGAAATGTATGAAAGATTAATTATATTTTATTATCTGTATAAAAACAAAATGCAACAAATTTACAAAACATATATATATATATATATTATCGCTTTAGGTAAATGCTCATATTTGTTCATGTGTTTTTTGTTTGTTTTTCATAGAAATTATAGAACATTAATTGGTCAAACATTAAAACTTATGTTTATTTAATCCAATAGTTTTATTTTATTTATTTATTTTGGAACGGTTTACATTTGTCACTGTATACTACAAAAATAAACATTTCTGACATTCTCACATGAAACAAGACACTTAGGCAATAGCGAACAATTAATACGTAGACAGAATATACTTCTTTTTTTAACATAAAAAATAAATTTAATTTTTGTTTGAAGCTTCAATATCGTATTATATTTCAAAAAATTTTCCCATTACAATGCTTACTAATTCTTTGGAATGTAAATGCAAACATCGCTTTTCATCTTCACAATTTCAGTGACATCACAAAAATCAAATTACTAAATTAATTACAAAACATCCACAAAAAATAGTGTCAATTTGCAAAATAGTAACTTCACTCTCATTTTGACAGGTAACCTTTATATAATCACGAGTTTATGAAATCTTAATTTTTATTATTATGCAAGCATTTGTAATTTACTGACATTAATTGTACAAAATGTAACGAGTAAGTTTTGTCTATACGATAAAGATTCCAAATATACATTTTGATCTACATAAGAAGACGATTAAAGCTAACATGAATTCTTACAAATTTTAGAAAGAATTTTTTTTTTCAATTGTTCAAAATCAAATTGTGAAACTTCATGTGTAATGAATGATATCACATAATTATGAATAAAGAGCATCATTCACCTGAAATAAAAAGTAACAAACCATTAGTTTCAATTTGGAAAAAATATATTACTATTATGTAGTTCTATTTAAATTAAATGTATATAATGTATAATTGGTACGTTGAACCAGCACTACATTCATGGGTTTTGATTGTAATCAAGCACACTTTGGCATTGCGCCATTTTCAGAGAGAAACTGTCAGGCCAACCTAAAAGTGACCCCAGTGCCTGTTCAATTTGTTTTTGCCAACTCGCGACTAACACCCACCACTACTACTAAGGTTAAGACTTGTTAGCTTATGTAGTGTTACGGACAGGGTTAGGTTAGGTAAGATTGTGTAGTGCTAGGGACAGGGTTAGGACTGGTTAGCTTATATATGGTTAGAGGTGGGTTTAGGTTAGGTAAGATTATGTAGTGTTACGGACAGGGTTAGGTTAGGTAAGATTATGTAGTGTTAAGGACAGGGGAAGGTTAGATTTAGTTAAGAGTGGTTAGATTATGTAATGGCACAACACTCGTGTGTTTTGATGTCAATCAATGTGTTTCGGCTTTGTGCCAACTTCAGTGAGGAAATGCCAGACAACCTAAAAGTGATCCAAGTGCCGATGCAATGCATTTTCACCAAATCGCAGACCAACACCCATTAATCAGTATGTTACTTTCATTTGTATATCTTTTAAGGAAAAGATATACATCACATATTCAAGAATGTTTACATTTATAAATTAATAAAAAAATATGTTTCTAATAAATTTCCAACTATAGTATTTATAGTATACCACCAACTTTTATAGATATAAACTACCTTCACAACAAATGACACATCCCTACCATCAGTATGATGCAGTATCATTCTTTTTAATAAACCAATTGAAAAAAAGCTAAATTTTTAAAAGTGAAAACAATTGGATGATGATAAATCGTACAAAGTGAAACTAAAATTATTAGCACTGCTCTAGTTAACCACAAAAACTATAAACATTAGCCAATTCCACTGGTTCACACGTGAAAACCCTCTAGAGTTGAATTTTTCAATGAAAAATGTACTTTCAGTATGTTTGAGTTAGTGTACTTTATTTTTATTAAACAAATGAATTTTTATTAAACATAAAACTCACATGAAATTTAATGTCTTTGTTTGTAAACACAGCAGAAGGGACAGCAGAAACAGCAAATGCAGCTAATAACGAAAGAAAGGATGAGGACAATGATAATAATAGGTACTATCACGATAGACCTGAAACAAACAAAAAAACAAACAAATTGTTTCAAAAAAGATATTAAAAAAATGAAAATCATATTTCACACAAAATGTTAAACACTACAAAACATTTAGACTATAATTTACATGCCCTTTGTTATTGAAAATGTATAACATATTTAATATGGATAAGTTTTTGGGCTGGAGATGCATTTTTTTGTGTGAACATTTTTGCTTTATTGATTTTATTTTACTGGGGTGTGCACATGGGTTGGGTGAGGTTTGCAATGGTTAGGTGTGGATAGGTTAGGGATAGGGATAGGATAGGATTAGGAGGATATCTCTCAGTAAGGTTACATATCCATTATTAAATTTTTTCTATGAAATGTG